TGAGGGAAAAAAATATTTATTACATTTTAGAATAAGGCTGTAATGTAACAAAATGTGGAAAAAGTCAAGGGGTCTGAATACTTTCCGAATGCACTGTATATACAGTATACCGCCCAAGCCTACCGCTAGGCCAGGGGTCGTGTCCATAAATCATCTCAGAGTAGAAAATTGGTCGTAAGTGCTAAGAAAAATCATTTTACTCCTACTCTAATGGGAAAAAATTAAAATCTACGCAAGCCTCTTTAGCCATACGAGTCTCACCTAGCCGACAGGTATTTAGGAGACCTCATGACCTGTCCTAACTGGTGAAAAAGCAACCTACCGGGCTGGAGTGTGGTGAGACTACGGACATGTTCAAAATTCTGGAGGAGCGGTTGGGTTGTGCACCGCTGCCCTTTAAATACGTCACTCATTGCTTCAAACCACACCCACCAAACGGAGCAAACGTACCAGTCTGTTCAAGAAAGCAGAAAAGCATTTTGGGAAAATGGTCACACAAGGTAGAAAACTTTTTAAATCCTGCTTTTAACAACCATTATACTGTATGATTCAGTACAATATGTCTATCACATTATTCAAAATATCAAAATTGGTTAAAAAAAGGTTATGCATGCCAACATACACTACCGGTCAATAGTTCTAGAACACCTTCTCATTCAAGGGTTTGTCTTTATTTTTTACTATTTTCTACATTGTAGAATAATAGTGAAGACATCAAAACTATGAAATAACACATATGGAATCATGTAGTAACCAAAAAAAGTGTTAAACAAATCAAAATATATTTTATATTTGAGATTATTCCACCCTTTGCCTTGATGACAGCTTTGCACACTCTTGGCATTCTCTCAACCAGCTTCATGAGGTAGTCACCTGGAATCCATTTCAATTAACAGGTATGTCTTCTTAAAAGTTAATTTGTGGAATTTATTTCACAATGTTTAAGCCAATCAGTTGTGTTGTGACAAGGTAGGGGGGTATACAGAAGATAGCCCTATTTGGTAAAAGACCAAGTCCATATTATGGCAAGAACAGCTCAAATAAGCAGAGAGAAACGACAGTCCATCTTTACTTTAAGACATGAAGGTCAGTCAATACAGAACATTTCAAGAACTTTGAAAGTTTCTTCAAGTGCAGAAACAAAAACCATTAAGCGTTATGATGAAACTGGGCTCTCATGAGGACCGCCACAGGAAAGGAAGACCCAGAGTTACCTCTGCTGCAGTGGATAAGATCATTAGAGTTACAAGCCTCAGAAATTGCAGCCCAAATAAATGCTTCACAGAGTTAATAATAATAATAATAATAATAATAATAATAATAATATGCCATTTAGCAGACGCTTTTATCCAAAGCGACTTACAGTCATGCGTGCATACATTTTTTGTAAGATTTTCAAGTAATAGACATCAACATCAACTGTTCAGCAGAGACTGTGTGAATCAGGCCTTCAAGGTCGATTTGCCGCAAAGAAACAACTAATAAAGGACACCAATAATAAGAAGAGACTTGCTTGGGCCAAGAAATACAAGCAATGGACATTAGACCGGTGGAAATGTGTCCTTTGGTCTGGATTCCACATTTGAGATTTTTGGTTTCAACCGCCGTGTCTTTGTGAGACGTGGTGTGGGTGAACGGATGATCTCCGCATGTGTATTTCCCACCTTAAAGCACGGAGGAGGTGGTGTTATGGTGTGGGGGTGCTTTGCTGGTGACACTGTCAGTGATTTATTTAGAATTCAAGGCACACTTAACCAGCATGGCTACCACAGCGATATGCCATTCCATCTGGTTTGGGCTTAGTGGGACTATCATTTGTTTTTCAATGACCCAACACCTCCAGGCTGTGTAAGGGATATTTTACCAAGAAGGACAGTGATGGAGTGCTGCATCAGATTACCTGGCCTCCACAATCCCCCGACCTCAACCAAGTTGAGATGGTTTGGGATGAGTGTGCAAAGCTGTCATCAAGGCAAATGGTGGCTATTTGAAGAATCTCAAATATAAAATAAATGTTTTGATTTGTTTAACACTTTTGTGGTTACTACATGACTCCATATGCATTATTTCATAGTTTTGATGTCTTCACTATTATTCTACAATGTAGAAAAGTAGGTGTTCTAAAACCTTTGACCGGTAGTGTATTAGGCAGGAATTAAGAGTAGGCAAAGTGGTCGTGTCAGGCGAAAATTATATCAAACGTTTTATAATTGCAACATTTGATGTACAGTCACATTCAAGCTGGCGATGCCTCATCGCGATTGGTTATTCCCCATTCATCTGCAACAATGTCAATTAGCATCATCACCATTGCTTCTTCCTCTCTGATAGAAATAGAATGTAAGTATATACAGTTGAAGTCAGAAGTTTACATAAACCTTAGCCAAATACATTTAAACTCAGTTTTTCCACAATTCCTGACATTTAATCCTAGTAAACATTCCCTGTTTTAGGTCAGTTAGGATCACCACTTTATTTTAAGAATGTGAAATGTCAGAATAATAGCAGAGAGAATGATTTATTTCAGCTTTTATTTATTTCATCACAAGTTTACATACACTCAATTAGTATTTGGTAGCATTGCCTTTAAATTGTTTAACTTGGGTCAAACGTTTTGGGTAGCCTTCCACAAGCTTCCCACAATAAGTTGGGTGAATTTTGGCCCATTCCACCTGACAGAGCTGGTGTAACTGAGTCAGGTTTGTAGGCCTCCTTGCTCGCACACGCCTTTTCAGTTCTGCCCACACATTTTCTACAGGTTTGATGTCAGGGCTTTGTGATGGCCACTCCGATACCTTTACTTTGTTGTCCTTAAGCCATTTTGCCACAACTTTGGAAGTATGCTTGGGGTCATTGTCCATTTGGAAGACCCATTTGCGACCAAGCTTTGACTTCCTGACGGATGTCTTGAGATGTTGCTTCAATATATCCACATAATTTTCTTTCCTCATGATGTCATCTATTTTGTGAAGTTCACCAGTCCCTCCTGCAGCAAAGCACCCCCACAGCATGATGCTGTCACCCCCATGCTTCACGATTGGGATGGTGTTCTTCGGCTTGCAAGCAACCCCCTTTTTCCTCCAAACATAACGATGGTCATTATGGCCAAACAGTTCTATTTTTGTTTCATCAGACCAGAGGACATTTCTCCAAAAGGTACGATCTTTGTACCCATGTGCAGTTGCAAACCGTAGTCTGGCTTTTTTTATGGCGGTTTTGGAGCAGTGGCTTCTTCCTTGCTGAGAGGCCTTTCAGGTTATGTCGATATAGGACTCGTTTTACTGTGGATATAGATACTTTTGTACCCGTTTCCTCCAGAATCATCACATGGTCATTTGCTGTTGTTCTGGGATTAATTTGCACTTTTCGCACCAAAGTACGTTCATTTCTTGGAGACAGAACGCATCTCCTTCCTGAGCGGTATGACGGCTGCGTGGTCCCATGGTGTTTATACTTGCGTACTATTGTTTGTACAGATGAACGTGGTACCTTCAGGCGTTTGGAAATTGCTCCCAAGGATGAACCAGACTTGTGGAGGTCTACAATTTTTTTTTCTGAGGTCTTGGCTGATTTCTTTTGATTTTCCCATGATGTCAAGCAAAGAGGCACTGAGTTTGAAGGTAGGCCTTGAAATACATCCACAGGTACACCTCCAATTGACTCAAATGATGTCAATTAGCCTATCAGAAGCTTCTAAAGCCATGACATCGTTTTCTGGAATTTCCAAGCTGTTTAAAGGCACAGTCAACATAGTGTATGTAAACTTCTGACCCACTGGAATTGTGATACAGTGAATTATAAGTGAAATAATCTGTCTGAAAACAATTTTTGGAGAAATTACTTGTGTCATGCACAAAGTAGATGTCCTAACCGACTTGCCAAAACTATAGTTTGTTAACACAAAATGTATGCACGCATGACTGTAAGTCGCTTTGGATAAAAGCGTCTGCTAAATGGCATATTATTATTATTATTATTATTAACAAGAAATTTGTGGAGTGGTTGAAAAACAAGTTTTAATGACTCCAACCTAAGTGTATGGGCGGCAGGTAGCTTAGTGGTAGCTTACAGGTAGCTTAGTGGTTAAGATCGTTGTACCAGTAACCGAAAGGTCGCTGGTTCTAATCCCCGAGCCGACTAGGTGAAAAATCTGTCGATGTGCCCTTGAGCAAGGCACTTAACCCTAATTGCTCCTGTAAGTCGCTCTGGATAAGAGCGTCTGCTAAATGACCAATTAATTTTTTTAATTTAAACTTCCGACTTCACTAGCTTTCCTTTGCGATACCTCAAACTGTTGTGATTCCCAGCTGAGATAAACTTTTATGACTTGATTTTACTCCTGGCTCAGAGTTTCTCTGAGCAGTGTCTTAACATTATTTTGTCTTCAAACAGGTTTTAACAGGATTCCTAGGAACTTTTCTGAGACGCTTTGTGGATAAAGGCCCCTTTTCATGTCATCATTGTGAGACCATAGGAGAGCATGTCATCATTAAGGGACGGTAAGGAGAGCGCAGCTTCCTCACCAGCCGTCAGCCAGCCAGGAGAGAGAGATTGATAGTCCAGAGTCATTTGTTCTATTGGTTATTCTAAATGAAGTATGGGGTTATTGGAGGCAGGCCTCTCCCACCGGCTAACATTGATTTCCACTGATTCTCCTCTCCTCCCAGCTCCCTGTAACCTTGTGCTGGTGTCTCCTCTTATCTCCCTCACGCTCTCCTCTCTTTCTCCCTCTCACCTTTTCCACCCTCCTCTGTTTTTCCATCCGCTTCTCTTTCTTTTCCTTCCTCTCCCTATTTCCCGCCCTGTTACTCATCCTCTCTCTCAAACAGAAAGAGGGGGGAGACAAAGGGAAGGAGGGAGAGACAGATGGACATTCAGACAGTGAGATAGAGACAGACAGGGAGGTAGAGAAAGTGAAAGAGGGACAGAGAGGAAGTGAAAGAGATAAGGAAACAGAGAGCGAGAGAGAGAGAGCGAGAGAGGGGTAATTATCCGTCAGGTGTGTGGGTGTGCGTGACGGAGGAGGAAGCTCATTAGCACACCCTGTGTACACCAATTACACAGCAAGCCTTCACATGCAGACACACGCACAGACACACATCTCACCTGTGGAGGTTGTCTTGACCGGATGGAACCACTCCCAGGTTGGCCACGGTTGCCACCTGTCTGCTGATTGGTTGGCTGGTCGTGTTCTCTGCTGCCATGGTGATGGTTGCCGAGCTCTCGTTCATGCCCAGCAGTTTACCTGATTGGGTGAGAAACAGAAACAAGTGAAATTATGCACTCACATCACATCTAGAGATTGCGTTGCAGGTGCGCTGGAGAAGAATCCTCACAAACTAACTGTTCACTGTACTCCACAAACAGTGACACACAGCCAGTCTTCTGATTCTGACAAACGACAGGAAATGAACATAGTGCTTGAGAGCTTGACTGTGAATAAGACGAAGAAAGAAAGTGCGTTTTTGGACAACACAATAGCTCCCAACACTCCAGAAAGAGCATTTAATGAGGACTGGGGGAGGGGGGGAGTTTAGAGTGAGTGGGGTGGGGTGGAGGGGGCACAAGTTAGCCAAGGGGAAAATACTCCATTCAGGTCAAAGTAACAACAAACATGTTTCTAAAAACCACCTGAAGAGAAGTAAAGTGGTTTGGTTTAAATCATCTTTAAAAGAGAGGGGCGGGTTAAATCTAGCCGTTCGGTCTCCTATCCTCTTCTCTCGGATTGCTATGAGGAGGAGAGCTCAGAATAGGACTATAGTGAATGAAGGTTCATTAATGAATTAACAAGACGAGGAAGGCATTTAGCAGGCACTTAGAGAAGAGTGGTAGCCTACATACTGAATTCTCTCAATGCCTCTTATATACACAGGAGTGGGAGGTGTGTGTGTGTGTGTGTGTGTGTGTCTCTCGCTCTCTGTGTGTGTGTGTGTGTGTGTAAAATATATTCAATCACTCAGGGAGGCGAATCAAAGTTGAATGTTTCTTTATTATTAAATTCATAGAAAGCCTCCATAGAAAGCAGGCCAGTAATTATTGGCCCCACTTATGAAGTCATTACCTACAAACTGCATTTGTTACTGCTTTGACTACAGCACGTCTTTCACAGTGACTAATGCTAAACACCAGTGATCGGTCATGGTGATGATAATGTAGCTAATGTTTTGTCTGATTGTGCAAGATAATGATTATGATTTTCTTTGTAGTTAACGGTGTATAATAACTTACCTTGCTCCTTGCGGAAGTCCTGTTCGGTCATCGTGATGGGTAGGAAGAGTTCTCCTACGGCAGGCTGGATGGACACACTGAACTGGTCCTCCTTCGTACTGATGGATAAACAGGACAACAGATCAACAAGCCCCTCTTTGAAATGAGTGGTGTGTGTGTGTGTACAGCTGCGTGTGTAATGTGTGTGTTTGACGTTTTCTCCATCTCTATTCTGATTGTCATGCAAAACACACTGGGTGATTGCATTTTGGGAAAGATTAATTAGCTCTCTCCCAAACAGGTTTTCTGATCAGCGAGCAGAGGAGAGGAGAGGAGAGGAGAGGAGAGGAGAGGAGAGGAGAGGAGAGCTAGACTAGACGTCAGAGTATCTTACCACAGCTGGAAGTTGGCTGCTTGTGTTGAGTCGTTGAAGTCGATGCCCAAAGACACAGTCACCGAGGCCTCTGGCTGCAGACACTCTGGGAACAGAGAGAAGAATGAAAAGAGAGGAGTGAGTGACACGGGCAGAGGAAGAAGAGGGACATGGGGAGGTCATTAGAGTGGAACAGACAGGCATACAGACACCACTTGTGTTTTCTACTTCACAAAGCAAGGCCAACGCGTGTGAGAAATCCATCTTTCAATCTCATCCTCCACAACGAGACGAAAGACAGAAACATTTTCCAAAACAACAGGGTTGTCAAAGAGAATGTCAGGGTCTAAAGAGAAGAAGGAGAGAGAGAGAAATAGTAAAAGAGGGGGGAGATGGATATGTATAAAGGAGGAAAAGACATTGGGGGATGAGAGAGAAGAGAGAAAGACATGAAGCAGAGAGAGATCTGTGAGATCGAGGTGAGAGTGAAAGTAAGAAGGATGAGGACGAAAGAGGGAGCGATAGGCCGAAAGACAGACAGACAGACAGAAGGATCCTCCACGGTCTCCTGAGCAACCCTGTGTTTCTCTGTCTCTCTGTGGAGCGGAACTCTGTCTCACACAGAGGAGAGAAGAAAGGACCCTGGACACCAGAGGACAGACACTGGAAACAGAGCCATCATACACTCTCTTTCTCTCCACTGCTTTCTATGCCTCAATCACCCCTCTTTCTCTGTCTCTCTCTTCCCTTTTCACATTTCTCTCACTTCATCGCACTCTTTCTTTCTCTCCTCCTCCTCCCCCTCTCCATTTCAGTTTTAAGAGAAAAGTGGACTTTACTACAGTAGATGCTGACATATAGAAGAGACCGATATGTTGAAAGACATTGTGGGCTATGCTGCTGTAGGAATAGCCACGTGCTAGTCTAACATTTCTTTACGAGGTTAAATACACTGTGGGGTAAAGTAAGGTATTCCGTCCGCATTCACTTTCTCCTGCTCAATATGAAAACCAACTCTACTCTCACACACACCCCCACACTCTAAGCTCAATCGATCCAAATTACCCAGTGTTTGGCTGCCCGAGTTCCTTCAATGCCCAATCAATCCACAGCCAATTGATGCTTTTAACGCGCTTGAGCGCACTCCTTTTCATCTTGTTTTTTTTTCTCTTCTTTTGCTTTTCTTTCATGTCTGGCCTCAGAGGGATATGTATGTGTATGTGTTATGAATGAAGACACACTATATACACAAAAGTATGTGGACACCCCTTCAAATTAGTGGATTCGGCTATTTCAGCCACACCTGTTGCTGACAGGTGTATAAAATCGAGCACACAGCCATGCAATCTCCATAGACAAACATTGGCAGTAAAATGGACTTACTGAAGAGCTCAGTGACTTTCAACGTGGCACCGTCATAGGATGCAACCACTTCAACAAGTCAGTTAGTCAAATTTCTGCCCTGCTAGAGCTGCCCCAGTCAACTGTAAGAGTTGTTATTGTGAAGTGGAAATGTCTAGGAGCAACAACGGCTCAGCTGCGAAGTGGTAGGCCACACAAGCTCACAGAACGGGACCGCTGAGTGCTGACGCGCATAGCGCATTAAAATCGTCTGTCCTCGGTTGCAACACTCACTACCGAGTTCCAAACTGCCTCTGGAAGCAACGTCAGCACAAGAACTGTTTAGTCGGGGGCTTCATGTAAATGGGTTTCCATGGCCGAGCAGCCTAAGATCACCACGCACAATGCCTAGCGTCGGCTGGTGTGATGTAAAGCTCGCCGCCATTGGACTCTGGAGCAGTGGAAATGCGTTCTCTGGAGTGATGAATTACGCTTCACCATCTGGCAGTCCTGACAGACAAATCTGGGTTTGGCGGATACCAGGAGAACCCTATCTTCCCAAGTGCATAGTGCCAACTGTAAAGTTTGGTGGAGGAGGAATAATGGTCTGGGGCTGTTTTTCACAGTTTGGGCTAGGCCCCATAGTTCCAGTGAAGGGAAATCTTAATGCTACAGCATACAATGACATTCTAGACAATTCTGTGCTTCCAACTTTGTGGCAACAGTTTAGGGAAGGCCCTTTCCTGTTTCGGCATGACAATGCCCCCGTAAACAAAGCGAGGTCCATACAGAAATGGTTTGTCGAGATCGGTGTGGAAGAACTTGACTGACATGCACAGAGCTTTGACCTCAACACCATCTAACACCTTTGGGATGAATTGGAACGCCGACTGTGAGCCAGGCGTAATGGCCCAAAATCAGTGCCCGACCTCACTAATGCTCTTGTGGCTGAATGGAAGCAAGTCCCCGCAGCAATGTTCCAACATCTAGAGGAAAGCCTTCCCAGAGGAGTGGAGGCTGTTATAGCAGCAAAAGGGTGGACCAACTCCATATTAATGCCCATGATTTTGGAATGAGATGTTCCACGAGCAGGTGTCCACATACCTCTGGTCATGTAGTGTATCTAACCCACCTATAGTATTGAAGCAGTGAATTACCCAAACATTTCTGCAGCATTGAAGGTCCCCAAGAACACAGTGGCCTCCATCATTCTTAAATGGAAGAAGTTTGGAACCACCAAGACTCTTCCTAGAGCTGGCCGCCCGGCCAAACAGAGCAATCAGGGGAGAAGGGCCTTGGTCAGGGAGGTGACCAAGAACCCGATGGTCACTCTGACAGAGCTCTAGAGATGGGAGAACCTTCCAGAAGGACAACCATCTCTGCAGCACTCCACCAATCAGGCCTTTATGGTAGAGTGACCAGACGGAAGCCACTCCTCAGTAAAAGACACATGAAAGCCCGCTTGGAGTTTGCCAAAAGGCACCTAAAGATTCTCAGACCATGAGAAACAAGATTCTCTGGTCTGATGAAACCCAGATTGAACTCTTTGGCCTGAATGCCAAGCGTCACGTCTGGAGGAAACCTGGCACCATCCCTACGGTGAAGCATGGTGGTGGAAGCGTCATGCTGTGGGGATGTTTTTCAGCGGCAGGGACTGGGAGACTCGTCAGGATTGAGGGAAAGATGAATGGAGCAAAGTACAGAGAGATCGATGAAAACCTGCTCCAGAGAGCTCAAGACCTCAAACAGGGGTGAAGATTCACCTTCCAACAGGACAACGACCCTAAGCACACAGCCAAGACAACACAGGAGTAGCTTCGGGACAAGTCTCTGAATGTCCTTGAGTGGCCCAGCCAGAGCCCGGACTTGAACCCGATCGAACATCTCTGGAGAGACCTGAAAATAGCTGTGCAGCGACGCTCCCCATCCAACCTGACAGAGATTGACAGGATCTGCAGAGAAGAATGGGAGAAACTCCCCAAATACAGGTGTACCAAACTTGTAGCGTCATACCAAAGAAGACTCAAGGCTGTAATTCCTGCCAAAGGTGCGTCAACAAAGTACTAAGTAAAGGGTCTGAATACTTATGTAAATGCGATATTTCAGTTTTTCTTATTTAATAAATTAGCTAAATTTTTGCTTTGTCATTATGGGATATTGTGTGTAGATTGATGAGGGAAAAAATATAATTTAATCCATTTTAGAATAAGGCTGTAACGTAACAAAATGTGTAAAAAGTCAAGGGGTCTGAATTCTTTTCGAATGCACTCTATAGTATTGAAGCAGTGTATTATGTTATCTAACTCACCTATAGTATTGAAGCAGTGTATTATCTAACTCACCTATAGTATTGAAGCAGTGTATTATCTAACTCACCTATAGTATTGAAGCAGTGTATTATCTAACTCACCTATAGTATTGAAGCAGTGTATTATCTAACTCACCTATAGTATTGAAGCAGTATATGTTGAGTCCTGTGGGGCTCCTGTCTCCGATGTGGATCTGTTCCAGAGGGTGGTCTGAGGTGTTGGTCAGGCTGATCTGGACTGAGACCATGGTGGGCTGGTAGAGACAAGGCTGTCTGGGGAACTGGTACTGGGCTGACAGACCTTTACCTGTCATACGATGCAGCAGGTCATGGCTCTTCTCTGGGACAAACGCTGGACCGCTCACCTGGAGGAGGGTGACACAGGAAAGAGGACAGGGGTGAGTATACAGAGACAGACAGAGAGAGCGAGACAGAGGCACTTCTTTGGGACAAAATCGTGTAACCGCTCACCTGGACCACAGATAGAGAGGACAGGCGAAAGTATGAAAGGTATGATCTAAAAAAGCTGAAGGTTGGTTGATAACGTTTTGACCGACATGGTCTTTGTAAGGTAAGCAAACCCACATGACCCACACGTACAAATACTTAGTTACTCTTTTCATTTGTTGGTTGATAGCTTTGATAGCGTAGGCCCAGCATACCTCATTCAATATTTATTTACCATCTACAATCAGTGGTTAGGCTATTCTACTTTGTTTCGACTGCAGAACAACTGAGGGTTTGTTGACAACTTAAGCCTAGCTCTGTTCATTAAAACACAACCATTCTCCCTTGAAAAGGGCCCATTTCAATGTTCTAGAAAAGCCCCATATAAACCCAATGTATTATTATTTGTATTATTCGTCCTACGTCCCCAACCAGTCAGACTAGTAGTGAGTGGGTCTGATGGCAGGCTGAAGGACTGCTCAGGCTTAATGAATGGCAACACTAGAGGCCTGCTCTGGGCCTGCCATTCAGCTCTCTATTAACAGAGCTTTTACCTTTTCACCAGCAGAAAATGTAATTACCATAGCACAGAAAGGCAGGACAAAACACCATGCCAGGAGGAGAAACGTACTGACACGTTCTTGGGTTTAAGCAGAGTGTTTTCTTGTTCTTTATTTTCCCACTCCCTACATTAGCATGGTCCTTCTCATTCTTTTTTTGGTCTGTTCTTATTCGGCTAAACCGGCTTGACTCTGCTCTCTCTCCACTCATCCATTTGACAGTGGCAATGGCCTCCTCTCGACTGAAGAGGATCAACCCTACAGTAGCACTATACATTTGCTTGTATCTAGGCCTATGTATACTGGTACAAGGCATCTACTTTACAGACAAAGACTGATGCAACAACAATTAGGCTACATGCAAAAACAAATAAACCTAAGTTGGCTAGGTGGTTTCGTAACACTTTGCATAGGCACAAAACGACCCACCATTGCAATATCCCCATCAAAAACGGTTACAAAATCAAAATGCTACTTTTAATGAGGATTGAAAAGTAGCATTTTGTAACATTGATGTGTAACCATTCATGTCACATTCATGTGTGAATAGGAGAATAAACTCATAAAAATGTGACCCTGCTTATTGGCTCAATCCTCATTAACAGTAAAAGGCTGCCCTGTTGACACTGAGCCCAGCCATGCAGTATAGACAGAACTGTCTAAATATCAGCACTGGAGGCGAAAGAAACGCACATCTGTTTAGGCGAGGTGCTGGCTAGCGGAGTAGAACACTTGGAAAAGAAAAGGAGAGCCACACACTCTAGGAGCTCAGATGCAATCATTTAATAACCAACGTTTCGACAGCCAAGCCATCTTTATACTCTGATGAAGACAGCTTGGGTGTCGAAACGTTGGTTATAAAATTATTGCATCTGAGCTCCTAGAGCGGCTCTCCTTTTCTATTGAAATTTCAGGACTATCATGGCTACATATTGCCTATTTACTAACTTGGCTATATAATGCCCATAACTCTACCAGCTTAACACGCACCTCCCTGCCTCTGTCAGACAGACACATGGATATCAACGTGTTAATGAGAGTAAAGTGTGAGAACGCTAAAACGAGTAGTTAACACTTCATGAATCCCTCCGTTACACCTGCGGCTGCTGGTGCTATGTGTTAACCTCGACAAGCGGCGAGATGGACAGAGTGAGGGGAAGGGATAGAGGGGGGAACAATAGAAAGAGGTGTGCGAAATCTCACAACGCAATGTCAAAAAACTCAACGACAACAAGCAAGATAAAACGGGTCCAAGCAAACAAATGTGTGAAACGGTGAGAGTGAAATGAGGGGGCGAATATAACTCCTCATTTCTGAAATGGGAACACACACACAGGGTTTTGAGAGGTGTCAGAAACGCGTTGTTTGACAGGAGATGGAGGTGGGTGGACGGATTGCCAGTCTGTTCCAGATCAGACAATAGGAGAAGGGAGTGGGGGAGAGAAGAAGAGATGTGTGTGAGGCATTCTCAGGACTGTCATGGTGTGTGAGTGTGGAGAATCAGTTTGAAATACAACAGGGGGCTGAGGAGATGGAAGTCAAAGTGCCATCTCTTGTGTGTTACTGCCCTGGGCCCCTAACTGATTCAGCGTTCAATGACACTGTTTAGTTAGTAAACAGGAACTGGCTGGCTAATCACAGTCAAAGGTTTTTCTTTATACAGAAGAAGAGGAGGTTATCTTCATACAACGACACAGAGAAGAGGAGGTGATCTCAAACCTCCTATGGTCAGCCTAGACGTGACGTTTTGTGACGCGTACCCCCAGACATCCTGGACACACAGACAGGAAGGGGGTCATACAAACATTTGCCGGCGTGCTGTCGTAGCGCGGCACCCTCACACTCGCCCGTCACGCCAACGAGGGACATTTATCGGGCCACGTTTGTCCGTGTCAGAGCAGTCGTTGTCGATAAAGCTGGCCATAATGTCTGCCACCCCGTCACAATGCAGATTTACCTTCCTGACAAGCACATCCTGCCTCACTCTGCACTCAAGGTCCTGTCTAACACCCCTGAGAGGAGGGAGGGATGCAGGGAGGAAAGGAGGACAGGATAGGACAGGGCTTCAAACCGCTTATCATCACCAATTTGACACAGTGGACAGTGACGGCTTAACACACACACAACCTCCCCATGTCTTCCGCCACTGTTGGCCTGTGAGGCAGGAGGCATCCTCCAGACCCAAAGTGTAAATAACAGCAGACTAGGGATGTAACCTTGACTCCACTGTGGCACGCACACATGCACACACACACACACACACACACACACACAGGGTATGTCTCTTTTTGTCTTGTCTCTTCTAGACTTCGGGGAAGCTGACAATGGGAGAGGAAGTTGATTGAGAGGCTCTATTATGTCTCAACTTAAAGGAAGCTACTGTGATGGATGACACACACGCCAGTCACCTTCAGAGCCTGGACACACACACACACACACACACACACACACAACGGGACGACACGCTCACTCCCTCCCAGCATCCTCTTTGGAAAACGACCTGAAAATCCCGCTGACATATTCAAAAGGGGCTAACCGTAACAGGGCGTCTGGCGAGCATGTGGACGCATAAGATGTCCAATTTAAGAGAAAGAGTGCGTGTTAGGAGATGTATGGGGATGTATTGAAAATCCATTTCTGCTTTTGTGACATTGGCTGCTTGTTACTTCCGAAAGAGGATTTCATTATGTTGTGAGATTGTATGAGAGACAGACAGAAAGAGAAACGGGTGTAAGAGACGCATCTGATTGTAATTGTTCCCTTCAGTCAGTCAGGAGATGACAATTAATTGAGTCAGTCTATCAGAAGACCTTGACTAGAAGGAGTCAGCTCGATGTCACTGCTGTCACCTACAACCATATTAAACCAACAGGAGTTAGTTAGCCCAAAGCACATCGACGGAGGTTAGCTCATCTGGGACCATTCATCACTATATATGATTTTGTTTTAAGTGATTCATCTGGTTACTTTCAAAGAAACATGGATAGTTATGGTACACCAAGACTCAGTCAGTAAATCTTACTATGGTGGCATCAGTTTAATTGAAGCCTTTGCATCAGGGACTTGATTCAGAGACAGACAGACAGACACAGACAGACAACCCCCTCACACACTCACCCAGCCACATCCCATCCCATCAAAACCAACCGATTGCATATTGCACTATTTCCTACAGGGCATTTAAACCTATTTATACCCAGCCAGTGTGTGTGTGTGTGTGTGTGTGTGTGTGTGTGTGTGTGTGTGTGTGTGTGAGTGGCAGGTAGGGGTGTGTGGAGGGCAGGGCTGCGATATTCCTGCCTTTCCCAGCCCACTGCTGACTCATAATTAGACCTTAACCCAGCGCGCCCACACCGGGGGAGGTCAGAGTGGGGAGACGGGGGAGGAGGGGACCGCCTGATGGGCACCAAATGAACAAATTATGATGGGCCCCCTCCGGGTGTGATGGGGTCAAACGGCCCGCGCCCTGCTGCTGACAGTTCAATTTCCCCCCAACGCAGCCTCATTCGCCCAATGCTAATTATGAATGAAAAGTTATCAGCCTTAGCCAACCCCCCCATACACATGGACAGCGGACGGAGGGTGTGTGGCAGGGTGGGGTGGTTTAAAATGCATTTGTGAGAGATCCTTTAATGTCAAAATGTTATTAGAGAGAGGGAGCATGAAAGAGAGAGAGAAGAGAGAGAAAGAGAGAGAGAGAAAGGGAAGAGAGGGAGAGAGAAAGGGAAAAAGAGGGGGGAGAAGAAGAGAGGGAGATAGAGGAGAGGAGAGGTCAGAGACGGTGACCAGGGTTAATGTAAATGTCTTTGATAACCATGCAGTAATTCTCTAAAAGGGACCAAAGCGCTCAGCTGAGACACACTCACTGCTTCTGCGGGCGGATTGGTGAGAAATAGAAATGACACCAGGGCAAGTGTGTGAAGGAGATGGTGTGTGTGTGTGTCAATTTGTGTGTGTGTGAGAGAGATAGGGAGTGAGTGAGTGGGTGATACTGCGTGTGTGTGTGTGTGTGTGTGTGTGTGTGTGTGTGTGTGTGTGAGAGAGAGTGTGTGTGAGATTGACAGCCCTTCCCAGGCCTGTCTGTATGCAGAGTGGTGTGTGTACTGAAAGGTGAAGGCCGGGCAGTAATAGAGAATAGAATTGCAGATTAAACAGGGTGCTGTTTGCACATCAGCATCTGATTGAGAGTCAATCCTATGCATAAATACATGATGGCCATCAGGATTCATAGACTGGGGTAAATAACCTCACAACCCTCTTGCTACTTACTTTCAAAAGCGTAGGAACAGACTCTCACACACACACACACACACACACACACACACGCGCGCGCGCGCGCACACTGACACAAAAGCCCTGGACGAGTGAGGACAGAAAACTACAAAAATAACTAAAAGATTGGATACATAAGGGAACTTCTTCCCTGAGGGAACTTCTTTTTTGTAGCTAAGGAATGTAATAGGAACAATATGGGACGTTACGGTGATGTTATTGGGACATATCGGCTCTCTAATGGATTAGCTTATATTGATTGGTTGGTCACACACGGTCCTCAGCTAAACTAGTGCAAGTGCATGGCCAACACGCGCACAGAAATCTCAAGACCAAAGAGAGAAAGAGCCATTACACTTGGAAAAGGTCAACCATCGTGCATAGACACACTGTACAGAGACAACAGGGAAGGAACGACTGACAGAGAGATGGAGGGAGAGGTGGAAAGAGAGATGGGAGAGGGGGATGGATGGAGGGTGGCATCGAAGGCTGTATGAACAGGGCAGATAGAGAGACAGAGAAATGCACAGGCAGTGCACTTGTATGAGAGGGAGGGATGGAGAGGAGGAGAGGAGAGAGGAGATATAAATATGTTCAGGGAGGAGGAAAAGGTCAGTAGCCAACCTCACGAGGAGATATCTCAGCCACTGGAGAGACCAACTCATTCAGAGACACACTACTGTATGTTGTCTCTCTCTCAGCTCTGTCAACCAGACACACAGGATCCAGTGGACACAGAGGGAGGGATAGACAAACTGACACAGACAGTCAGACAGTACACACACTCACCTGCATGGTGGAGGAGACGTTGGCGAGAGACAGGCCTTCCAGGTCTCCAAGCAGGCTGGGGGAGAGGACATACGACTTGGGCTGGGTCACTGGTGTAGGAGTGACTACAGGACACAGAGAAGGCCGGGGACCACCCATATGTAAAATGTATGCACGCATTACTGTAAGTCGCTTAGGATAAAAGTATCCGCTAAATTACACACACACACACACACACACACATACAAACACACACACACATACAGTGCCCTCCACAATTATTGGCACCCCTGTTTAAGATGTGGTCGAGGACTTCCAAAAATTCTAAAAAAAATTTAAAACAACATAGAACCCAAATGCAAAAAAAGAGAAAAATCCAACCTTTTATTTAAGTACATTACTTTGGTGTAAAAAAATAAAAAATCACACATTTAGAAAAAAAAAAACTTTAAATCATGTGTCCCACAATTATTGGCACCCCTGATGTTAATACTTTGTACAACCCCCTTTTGCCAACAAGACAGCACTTAATCTCCTCCTATAACATTTCACAAGATTGGAGAACACAGAGAGAGGGATCTTTGACCATTCTTCTTTGCACAATCTTTCTAGATCATCCAGTGTCCTGGGTCCTCTCTTATGCACTCTCCTCTTTAGCTCGCCCCACAGGTTTTCGATTGGGTTGAGGTCTGGGGACTGAGATGGCCATGGGAGGACCTTGAGTTTGTGACTGCTGAACCATTTTTGTGTAGATTTTGCCACATGTTTTGGATCATTATCCTGCTGAAAGACCCAATGACAACCCATCTTCAGCTTTCTGGCAGAGGCCATCAGGTTTTTATTTAAAATGTCCTGGTAGTTCAAAGCGTTCATAATGCCATGCACCCTAACAAGGTTCCCAGGGCCTTTGGAAGAGAAACAGGCCCACAGCATCACAGATCCTCCACCATACTTCACGGTGGGCATGAGGTGCTTTTCGGCATACTCATCTTTTGTTTTACGCCAGACCCACTTAGAGTGTTTGTTGCCAAAAAGCTCAATCTTAGTCTCATCTGACCAAAGCACACGATCCCAGTTGAAGTCCCAGTGCCGCTTAGCAAACTCCAGACGTTTACGTTTGTGAGTGTTAGTGAGAAAAGGCTTTTTCCTTGCATGCCTCCCAAACAGCTTGTTGGCATGTAGAGAGCGTCTGATGGTTGTTTTGGAGACTGTGACCCCAAGATGCCACTATTTGATGCAATTCTGTGACAGTGAGCTTAGGACTTTTTTTTACTTCTCTTACCATCCTCCTCACTGTGTGTTGTGGCAAGATAAACTTGGGACCTCTTCCAGCCTTGTTTGTCACTGTTCCAGTTGTTTTAAACTTCTTAATGATTCCTCTGACTGTAGATACGGGCAAGTTAAGGCGAGTGGCTATTTTCTTGTAGCCATTGCCTGACTTATGAAGGTCAACACAAATCTGCCTTACTTGAATGGTGTGTTCTCTTGTCTTTGCCATGTTGACAAATGGGTAAGAGAATTAGGCCTCTGTGTCACGTCATATTTATACCCCAGGGAAACAGGAAGTCATGAATTACTAATTAAAAGTTCCTAGATACTCTGACCAACTTTAGCAACTACAGAAAAATATATTTTTTAAAAAATCAATTAAAATTTTCAGCGGAATTGTTAGGGGTGCCAATAATTGTGGGACACATGATTTCAAGTTTATTTTTTTCTAAATGTGTGATTATTTTTTTTACCACCAAAGTAATGTACTTAAATAAAAGGTTGGATTTTTCTATTTTTTTGCATTTGGGTTCTATGTTGTTTAAAAAAAAAGGAGAATTTTTGGAAGTCCTCGACCACATCTTAAACAGGGGTGCCAATAATAGTGGAGGGCACTGTATATATATATACACACACACACACACACACACACATATATATATACAGTGGGGAAAAAAAGTATTTAGTCAGCCACCAATTGTGCAAGTTCTCCCACTTAAAAAGATGAGAGAGGCCTGTAATTTTCATCATAGGTACACGTCAACTATGACAGACAAATTGAGGAAAGAATATCCAGAAAATCAAATTGTAGGATTTTTAATGAATTTCTTTGCAAATTATGGTGGAAAATAAGTATTTGGTCACCTACAAACAAGCAAGATTTTTGGCTCTCACAGACCTGTAACTTCTTCTTTAAGAGGCTCCTCCGTCCTCCACTCGTTACCTGTATTAATGGCACCTGTTTGAACTTGTTATCAGTATAAAAGACACCTGTCCACAACCTCAAACAGTCACACTCCAAACTCCACTATGGCCAAGACCAAAGAGCTGTCAAAGGACACCAGAAACAAAATGGTAGACCTGCACCAGGCTGGGAAGACTGAATCTGCAATAGGTAAGCAGCTTGGTTTGAAGAAATCAACTGTGGGAGCAATTATTAGGAAATGGAAGACATACAAGACCACTGATAATCTCCCTCGATCTGTGGCTCCACGCAAGATCTCACCCCGTGGGGTCAAAATGATCACCAGAACGAAGAGCAAAAATCCCAGAACCACACGGGGGGACCTAGTGAATGACCTGCAGAGAGCTGGGACTAAAGTAACAAAGCCTACCATCAGTAACACACTACGCCGCCAGGGACTCAAATCCTGCAGTGCCAAGACGTGTCCCCCTGCTTAAGCCAGTACATGTCCAGGCCCGTCTGAAGTTTGCTAGAGTGCATTTGGATGATCCAGAAGAGGATTGGGAGAATGTCATATGGTCAGATGAAACCAAAATAGAACTTTTTGGTAAAAACTCAACTCGTCGTGTTTGGAGGACAAAGAATGCTGAGTTGCATCCAAAGAACACCATACCTACTGTGAAGCATGGGGGTGGAAACATCATGCTTTGGGGCTGTTTTTCTGCAAAGGGACCAGGTCGACTGATCCGTGTAAAGGAAAGAATGAATGGGGCCATGTATCGTGAGATTTTGAGTGAAAACCTCCTTCCATCAGCAAGGGCATTGAAGATGAAACGTGGCTGGGTCTTTCAGCATGACAATGATCCCAAACTGACCGCCCGGGCAACGAAGGAGTGGCTTCGTAAGAAGCATTTCAAGGTCCTGGAGTGGCCTAGCCAGTCTCCAGATCTCAACCCCATAGAAAATCTTTGGAGGGAGTTGAAAGTCCGTGTTGCCCAGCGACAGCCCCAAAACATCACTGCTCTAGAGGAGATCTGCATGGAGGAATGGGCCAAAATACCAGCAACAGTGTGTGAAAACCTTGTGAAGACTTACAGAAAACGTTTGACCCGTGTCATTGCCAACAGAGGGTACATATAACAAAGTATTGACAAACTTTTGTTATTGACCAAATACTTATTTTCCACCATAATTTACAAATAAATTCATTAAAAATCCTACAATGTGATTTTCTGGATTTTTTTTTCCTCATTTTGTCTGTCATAGCTGACGTGTACCTATGATGAAAATTACAGGCCTCTCTCATCTTTTTAAGTGGGAACACTTGCACAATTGGTGGCTGACTAAATACTTTTTTTCCCCCACTGTATATATTTATTATGTCATTTAAGGCATAAATAGGCTTAATTCCCACTGGAAATATTGTCAGTACTACAGTTTATGTATTTTTCACAGTTACGTGCTGTTTTGCGGACATAAAACGTACAGTCATCCAAATCCAAAAGGGACACCACCTTCTTTGACTTCACCTCCATCTAGGGAAAAGAACAACAGAAACCTTCGTGAGAAACAAACTGTCCCTAGAGCATACAGATATCTACCGGCTTGGAACATGTACTGAATAACAAAATAAATATTAATTAATATTTGACCCTTAGGTCTTTGTCAGATCGTGAAACATATTTATAGTAAATACACATAGCGTTACCTTTTTTAGCAAATGTTTCAACATGAATGCTGAGATTAATGAGGGATATACACTACCGGTCAAAAGTTTTTAGAACACCTACTCATTCAAGGGTTTTCCCATTATTTGTACTATTTTCTACATTGTAGAATAATAGTGAAGACATAAAAACTATGATATAACATATGGAATCATGTAGTAAAAAAGTGTTAAACAAATAGCCACCCTTTGCCTTGATGACAGCCTTGCACACACTTGGCATTCTCTCAACCAGCTTCATGAGGTAGTCACCTGGAATGCATTTCAATTAACAGGTGTGCCTTCTTAAAAGTTACTTTGTGGGATTTCTTTCCTTCTTAATGCGTTTGAGCCAATCAGTTGTGTTGTGACAAGGTAGGGGGGGTATACAGAAGATAGCCCTATTTGGTAAAAGTCCATATTATGGCAAGAACAGCTCAAATAAGCAAAGAGAAAAAACCATCAAGCGCTATGATGAAACTGGCTCTCATAAGGACCGCCACAGGAATGGAAGACCCAGAGTTACCTCTGCTGCAGAGGATAAGATCATTAGAGTTACAAGCCTCAGAAATTGCAGCCCAAATAAATGCTTCACAGAGTTCAAGTAACAGACATCTCAACATCAACTGTTCAGAAGAGACTGTGTGAATCAGGCCTTCATGGTCGAATTGCCGCAAAGAAACAACTACTAAAGGACACCAACAATAAGAAGAGACATGCTTGGGCCAAGAAATACAAGCAATGGACATTAGACCGGTGGAAATGTGTCCTTTGGTCTGGATTCCAAATTTGAGATTTTTGGTTCCAACTGCCGTGTCTTTGTGAGACGCGGTGTGGGTGAACGGATGATCTCTGCATGTTTGGTTCCCACCGTAAAGCATGGAGGAGGTGGTGTTATGGTGTGGGGGTGCTTTGCTGGTGACACTGTCTGTGATTTATTTAGAATTCAAGGCACACATTTTACATTTTAGTCATTTAGCAGACGCTCTTATCCAGAGCGACTTACAGGAGCAATTAGGGTTAAGTGCCTTGCTCAAGGGCACATCGACAGATTTTTCATCGGGGATTAGAACCAGCGACCTTTTGGTTACTGGCACAACGCTCTTAACCACTAAGCTACCTGCCGCCCCACTTAACCAGCATGGCTACCCCAGCATTCTGCAGCTATACGCCATCCCATCTGGTTTGGGCTTAGTGGGACTATCATTTGTTTTTCAACAGGACAATGATCCAAAACACCTCCAGGATGTGTATGGGATATTTTACCAAGATGGAGAGTGAGGGAGTGCTGAATCAGATGACCTGGCCTCTACAATCCCCCAACCTCAACCAAATTGAGATGGTTTGGGATGAGTTGGACCGCAGACTGAAGGAAAAGCAGCCAACAAGTGCTCAGCATATGTGGGAACTCCTTCAAGACTGTTGGAAAAGCATTCCAGGTGAAGCTGGTTGAGAGAATGCCAAGAGTGTGCAAAGCTGTCATCAAGGCTAAGGGTGGCTATTTGAAGAATCTCAAATATAAAATATATTTTGATTTGTTTAACACTTTTTTGGTTACTACATGATTCCATGTGTAATTTCATAGTTTTGATGTCTTCACTATTATTCTACAATGTAGAAAATATTAAAAATAAAGAAAAACCCTTGAATGAGATGGTGTTCTAAAACTTTTGATCAGTAGTGTAGATGAAAGAGAAAGAGATAGAAGAACAAGCGGAAGACAGAAAAGATGACAAGCAGAATATTGGAAGTAAAGTCTGTCTGTACTGTATATGGGGGAATGTAGCCTACACTGCCTAATTTGACTGACAGCGTCTATCCAATGTAACATGATATTCCTAAACATATCTGCTATGTACATAAAATTCAATTCTATATCAATTCTATTTCTCAGGCGGCTGTGCATATACACACTGCACATCTGAAGCGTGTCTCTGATCTGCATGGGCCAGCCATGAGGCATGTCCTGTCACAACCCGATACACTCTAGCGACTACCTCCAACCACTAGGCCAGGCTTGTCAAACGGCGACTCGGAATATCAGGATGTGCATCGCCAGATCTACACTACAACGGGTAACAATAAAAACGCTATTAAACATAAGAGCACTATTACGGACCTCTCTCTCGCTCTCCACGCCCTCCTAACCAACCACGGCCCTGTTCACGTCTTATAAAGAACCGTACAATTCCACTCTGCTTACTGCGGGATCCACTAACGGAGAGAGTGAGAGAGGGAGAGAGAGAGAGAGAAGGTGTAATAGTGAAAACAAATAATGAATTTAGAGGGCGTATCTTATCAGATTGTCTCTTGACGCTTGGTGGCGGTAATAGAGAAGGAACCCTTGTTAGCAGGCGGAGTGAGCGAGAGAAAGAGCGAGTGGAAGAGCGAAAGAGGGAGAGAAAATATGGAGAGATGCATAGGTCGTAGAAGCAAAGTATGCAAAATGAGAATTTCATAGCCGAGAACGAAAGAGGGAATGAAAGAGAGAGGGAAGGGAGGAGGAGTGAAGGAAAAGAGGGGGGTGAGATAGATAGGGAAGACGATGCTGCAAAGAAGCAGACCAAATCATATTCCACTGTGTAGAATATGATTTATCTGCCTCCACTAGCTCTAAAAAGACACTGGGAGAATCTTTTAATTGTGTACTCCTCACGTCCTCGCTCCTCTTTCCTCATCTCCTTCTCAAAACCCATTGGATGAGAAAGCCAGAGGTCCCTCCCCTCAGACCTTCTCCTCCAATGGGTTTTGAGGAGGTGAGGAGAGAGGACGTGAGGAGTATGCAATTGAGATTCTCCCACAGTTCACACTAACTAACACATTATATAGTGTTGTACTATGCCGAACAGAGGGTTGGTTCAAACTGTCTTATTTACAGTGTGGAGAAGAAGTCTGATTGGACACAGGTCAAAATAACTTCATCTGTTCAGAGTCAGACCATGGTCTCAATTCAATCAACTGCAGATAAAGGAAAACCCCACTAGGGGTTATTTCTGAGGTGTTAACCATGTTAAACTGACACACCCAGCAAGCGGTTGCCCTCACGGTTGGTTGTCTCACCTTGGGTTTGGCTTTAGATTTGGTTTTCTTCTTGTGTTCGGTGCCTGAGTCAGAGTCTGCGTCGGACTCAGATTCGGAACCAGAAGAGCTCTCTTCTGCAGACGAACTGCTGGCTTCTTTAGCAACGTTCCCATTCTCATCTGAATCACTGACACGTAGGAGAAATAACACAAAAGGGTGTTAGAGAGCTAAACTAAACACAGTACAACTAGGGCTGGTACAATTACCGTATAACCAACTGTTATGGATGAAGACAGTCATGAAAATAAAATAACCGTCATCACATTTTTGTTTTGTTTTTGTGGAACGAACAGCTGACAGAAGACGAATGGACAGGCATTCTTGTGGTTGACTCTGTGGTAACATTCTGTGGTAACACTTTGTTGCTCCTAGCTGAAACAAGCAAGGTATTGTAGCAAACACTACTTTGGTTGCCTAGGCAACGCCCACCTCACTGCAGCAGCAGCACACAGAAATAGAATGAATAAAACGAGCTTGCAACCGCTAACCCTGGCAATTGGACTGGTAAACTCATGGGTATACTCGCAATGGCTGCCTGGTATTGTGATGAAATAATATCCATGGTAATGTAACATTTTCATTCAAATTACGGTAACTGATGTGGCTCATGCAATGGAATGTATTTTTTGTAACGTCAGTTGAGTTGAATCAACAAATCACAGCACATATTGATGGGTACACTTTCTGCTTTGCTCCTATGGGCTAGGTCGAAAATATATATCTTCAACCCAGCCTATGGGTACACTCACAATGAAGTAAGCTTTATGCAACATATTTTTGGGTGCGGACATATTACACCTTCTGTTAGTCTGGGTTTGCGGGTTTTGAGCACCGCCCAAGCTTCTGGGAGAGCACGATGGTCCCATTTTGATTACACTCGCAATGGCCGCCAGTCCACCCACTATACCATTAACCCATTATTATCATTGACTTGAATGGGGACGCATGTTCTATTCATTGTATTTCTATGGCAGTACATGCAGCCAGGAGTGGAGGAGGAGAGAAAAATTAATTGGCTGGCAAATAACCGTAATCCAAAATTCCATGACCGTCACAGCCCTAAATAGAACGCTATTCTATATGCACCTGTGAGATTAAGGAGCGCATCTTGAAGGGTTATTCCGTGGGTGGGAAAATGTGTAATATTACAACTTTAAAAGCTGGAATCCTTAGTGGTGAAACTGCCACTACCGTTTGCTATATAACAACAAATAAGTTACAGCAAACAACGAACACTGCTTTTTCCCCCTCTGACATCATTGCACGTGCGATCGAACAGCAGAATATGTACCTGCAACAAATATACACTACCAGTCAAAAGTTTGGACACACCTTCTCATTCAAGGGTTTTTCTTTATTTTGACTATTTTCTACATTGTAGAATAATAGTGAAGACATCAAAACTATGAAATAACACATATGGAATCATGTAATAACCAAAAAAGTGTTCAACAAATCAAAATATATTTTATATTTGAGATTCTTCAAATGGCCACCCTTTGCCTTGATGACAACTTTGCACACTCTTGGCATTCTCTCAACCAGCTTCATGAGGTAGTCACCTGGAATGCATTTCAATTAACAGGTGTGCCTTCTTAAAAGTGGAATCTCTTTCCTTCTTAATGCCTTTGAGCAAATCAGTTGTGTTGTGACAAGGTGGGGGGGGGGGGGGGGGTAGCCCTATTTGGTAAAAGACCAAGTCCATATTATGGGAAGAACAGCTCAAATAAGCAAAGAGAAACAACAGTCCATTACTTTAAGACATTGACTGACATTCATACGGAACATTTCAAGAACTTTGAAAGTTTCTTCAAGTGCAGTCGCAAAAACCATCAAGCGCTATGATGAAACTGGCTCTCATGAGGACCGCCACAGGAATGGAAGACCCATAGTTACCTCTGCTGCAGAGGATACGTTCATTAGAGTTACCAGCCTCAGAAATTGCAGCCCAAATAAATGCTTCACAGAGTTCAAGTAACAGACACCTCAACATCAACTGTTCAGAGGGGACTGTGTGAATGTGAATGGTCGAATTGCTGCAAAGAAACCCCTACTAAAGGACATCAATAAGAAGAAGAGACCTGTTTGGGCCAAGAAACATGAGCAATGGCCATTAGATTTTTGGTTCCAACCGCCGTGTCTTTGTGAGACGCGGTGTGGGTGAACGGATGATCTCCGCATGTGTAGTTCCCACCGTAAAGTATGGAGGAGGAGGTGTTATGGTGTGGGGGTGCTTGGCTGGTGACACTGTCAGTGATTTATTTAGAATTCAAGGCACACTTAACCAGCATGGCTACCACAGCATTCTGCAGCGATACACCATCCCATCTGGTTTGGGCTTAGTGGGACTATCATTTGTTTTTCAACAGGACAATGACCCAACACACCTCCAGGCTGTGTAAGGGCTATTTGACCAAGAAGGAGAGTGATGGAGTGCTGAATCAGAAGACCTGGCCTCCACAACCCCCCGACCTCAACCCAATTGAGATGGTTTGGGATTAGTCGGACAGCAGAGCGAAGGAAAAGCAGCAAACAAGTGCTCAGCATATGTGGGAACTCCTTCAAGACTGTTGGAAAAGCATTCCAGGTGAAGCTGGTTGATAGAATGCCAAGAGTTTGCAAAGCTGTCATCAAGGCAAAGGGTGGCTATTTGAAGAATCTCAAATATAAAATATATTTTGATTTCTTTAACACTTTTTTGGATACTACTTGATTCCATATGTGTTATTTCATAGTTGCTCGTTTCAAGTCCTGCCACAACATCTCAATTGGGATTAGGTCTGGACTTTGACTAGGCCATTCCAAAACTTCTAATTTGTTGCTTTTTGGCAATTCTCATGTAGACTTGATTGTGTGTTTTGGATCATTGTCTTGCTGCATGACCCAGCTGCGCTTCAGCTTCAGCTCACAGACGGATGGTCTGACATTCTCCTGTAGAATTCTCTGATACAGAGCAGAAATCATGGTTCCTTCTATTAAGGCAAGTCGTCCAGGTCCTGAGGCAGCAAAGCACCTCCAAACCATCACACCACCACCACCATGCTTGACCTTTGGTATGATGTTCTTACTGTGGAATGATCCAAAACACACAATCAAGTCTACATGAAAATTGCTAAAAAGCAACAAATTGGAAGTTTTGGAATGGCCTAGTCAAAGTCGAGACCTAATCCCAATTGAGATGTTGTGGCAGGACTTGAAACGAGCAGTTCATGCTTGAAAACCCACACGTAACTGAGTTAAAGCAGTTCTGCATGGAAGAGTGGGCCAAAATTCCTCCACAGCGACGTGAGAGACTGATTAACAACTACAGGAAGCATTTGGTTGGAATCATTGCAGCTAAAGGTGGCACAACCAGTTATTGAGTGTAAGGGGGAAATTACTTTTTCACACAGGGGAATTGGGTGTTGCATAACTTTGTTTATGAAATAAATATGTAATTGTTGTGTTATTTGTTCACTTATGTTCCCTTTATCTAATATTAGGTTTTGGTTGAATATCAGATAACATTCAGTATCACAAATATGCAAAAGTAGAGAAAAATAGAAAGGGGGCAAATACTTTTTCATAGCACTGTGTATATATATATATATATATATATATATATATATATATATATATATATAATATATATATACACACACACACAGTGGGGGAAAAAAGTATTTAGTCAGCCACCAATTGTGCAAGTTCTCCCACTTAAAAGATGAGAGCAGCCTGTAATTTTCATCATAGGTACACGTCATCTAAGACAGACAAAATGAGATTTTTTTTTCTCCAGAAAATCACATTATAGGATTTTAATGAATTTATTTGCAAATTATGGTGGAAAATAAGTATTTGGTCAATAACAAAAGTTTCTCAATACTTTGTTATATACCCTTTGTTGGCAATGACACAGGTCAAACGTTTTCTGTAAGTCTTCACAAGGTTTTCACACACTGTTGCTGGTATTTTGGCCCATTCCTCCATGCAGATCTCCTCTAGAGCAGTGATGTTTTGGGGCTGTCGCTGGGCAACACGGACTTTCAACTCCCTCCAAAGATTTTCTATGGGGTTGAGATCTGGAGACTGGCTAGGCCACTCCAGGACCTTGAAATGCTTCTTACGAAGCCACTCCTTCGTTGCCCGGGCGGTGTGTTTGGGATCATTGTCATGCTGAAAGACCCAGCCATGTTTCATCTTCAATGCCCTTGCTGATGGAAGGAGGTTTTCACTCAAAATCTCACGATACATGGCCCCATTCATTCTTTCCTTTACACGGATCAGTCGTCCTGGTCCCTTTGCAGAAAAACAGCCCCAAAGCATGATGTTTCCACCCCCGTGCTTCACAGTAGGTATGGTGTTCTTTGGATGCAACTAAGCATTCTTTGTCCTCCAAACATGACGAGTTGAGTTTTTACCAAAAAGTTATATTTTGGTTTCATCTGACCATATGACATTCTCCCAATCCTCTTCTGGATCATCCAAATGCACTCTAGCAAACTTCAGACGGGCCTGGACATGTACTGGCTTAAGCAGGGGGACACGTCTTGTACTGCAGGATTTGAGTCCCTGGCGGCGTAGTGTGTTACTGATGGTAGGCTTTGTTACTTTGGTCCCAGCTCTCTGCAGGTCATTCACAAGGTCCCCCCGTGTGGTTCTGGGATTTTTGCTCACCGTTCTTGTGATCATTTTGACCCCACGGGGTGAGATCTTGCGTGGAGCCCCAGATCGAGGGAGATTATCAGTGGTCTTGTATGTCTTCCATTTCCTAATAATTGTTCCCACAGTTGATTTCTTCAAACCAAGCTGCTTACCTATTGCAGATTCAGTCTTTCCAGCCTGGTGCAGGTCTACAATTTTGTTTCTGGTGTCCTTTGACAGCTCTTTGGTCTTGGGCATAGTGGAGTTTGGAGTGTGACTGTTTGAGGTTGTGGACAGGTGTCTTTTATACCGATAACAAGTTCAAACAGGTGCCATTAATACAGGTAACGAGTGGAGGACAGAGGAGCCTCTTAAAGAAGTTGTTACAGGTCTGTGAGAGCCAGAAATCTTGCTTGTTTGTAGGTGACCAAATACTTATTTTCCACCATAATTTGCAAATAAATTCATAAAAAATCCTACAATGACATTTTCAGGATTTTTTTTCCTCAATTTGTCTGTCATAGTTGACGTGTACCTATGATGAAAATTACAGGCCTCTCTCATCTTTTTAAGTGGGAGAACTTGCACAATTGGTGGCTGACTAAATACCAACACAACAAACCACACAACACACACAGTGGGAGAACAAGTATTTGATATACTGCCGATTTTGCAGGTTTTCCTACTTTCAAAGCATGTAGAGGTCTGTAATTTTATCATAGGTACACTTCAACTGTGAGAGACGGAATCTAAAACAAAAATCCAGAAAATCACATTGTATGAATTTTAAGTAATTAATTTGCATGACATAAGTATTTGATACATCAGAAAAGCAGAACTTAATATTTGGTACAGAAACCTTTGTTTGCAATTACAGAGATCATTCGTTTCCTGTAGGGTCTTGACCAGGTTGCACACACTGCAGCAGGGATTTTGGCCCACTCCTCCATACAGACCTTCTCCAGATCCTTCAGGTTTCGGGGCTGTCGCTGGGCAATACAGACTTTCAGCTCCCTCCAAAGATTTTCTATTGGGTTCAGGTCTGGAGACTGGCTAGGCCACTCCAGGAGCTTGAGATGCTTCTTACGGAGCCACTCCATAGTTGCCCTGGCTGTGTGTTTCGGGTCGTTGTCATGCTGGAAGACCCAGCCACGACCCATCTTCAATGCTCTTACTGAGGGAAGGAGGTTGTTGGCCAAGATCTCGCGATACATGGCCCCATCCATCCTCCCCTCAATACGGTGCAGTCGTCCTGTCCCCTTTGCAGAAAAGCATTCCCAAAGAATGATGTTTCCACCTCCATGCTTCACGGTTGGGATGGTGTTCTTGGGGTTGTACTCATCCTTATTCTTCCTCCAAACACGGTGAGTGGAGTTGACCAAAAAGCTCTATTTTTGTCTCATCAGACAACATGACCTTCTCCCATTCCTCCTCTGGATCATCCAGATGGTCATTGGCAAACTTCAGACGGGCCTGGACATGCGCTGGCATGAGCAGGGGGACCTTGCGTGCGCTGCAGGATTTTAATCCATGACGGCGAAGTGTGTTACTAATGGTTTTCTTTGAGACTGTGGTCCCAGCTCTCTTCAGGTCATTGACCAGGTCCTGCCGTGTAGTTCTGGGCTGATCCCTCACCTTCCTCATGATCATTGATGCCCCACAAGGTGAGATCTTGCATGGAGCCCCAGACCGAGGGTGATTGACCGTCATCTTGAACTTCTATTTTCTAATAATTGCGCCAACAGTTGTTGCCTTCTCACCAAGCTGCTTGCCTATTGTCCTGTAGCCCATCCCAGCCTTGTGCAGGTCTATAATTTTATCCCTGATGTCCTTACACAGCTCTCTGGTCTTGGCCATTGTGGAGAGGTTGGAGTCTGTTTGATTGAGTGTGTGGACAGGTGTCTTTTATACAGGTAACGAGTTCAAACAGGTGCAGTTAATACAGGTAATGAGTGGAGAACAGGAGGGCTTCTTAAAGAAAAACTAACAGGTCTGTGAGAGCCGGAATTCTTACTGGTTGGTAGGTGATCAAATACTTATATCATGCAATAAAATGCAAATTAATTACTTAAAAATCATACAATGTGATTTTCTGGATTTGTGTTTTAGATTCCGTCTCTCACAGTTGAAGTGTACCTATGATAAAAATTACAGACCTCTACATGCTTTGTAAGTAGGAAAACCTGCAAAATCGGCAGTGTATCAAATACTTGTTCTCCCCACTGTGTGTGTGTGTATATATATCACGTTGCGAAGATCCTCACCTCCGCTTCGTCAACAAAACCAAAACATAACAATGGCCTCGGGGAGAACAGTGGCGCTGTTTCCCCTACTGCGGATTCCATCTTTAACAGACTGAAATATAACATTAACATGGGTTTTTCCTATATTAAAACATGAAAGTTTCATTATGAAGGGGAACATGTTATGAACCTATCCATTAAAGGCACTCTAACAAAAACACTTTCCACCCCCACCACCTACTGCAGTCTGCTGGAGCTCACACTAAAACTCTGTCAGAACAACCAATATCAATCTGTTTTGGTTTGCCCACTTAATTTAATATTGCTTTCGTTGAAACTTTTTTCTCTTCCACCCTCTCCCTTCCCTCTCTCTCTCCAATTTGTCCTGATAATGAGTGTTTACTCGAGCTGCCTGGGATTTTCAGCTGTTAAATTAACGAGCAGAATTGTGACGGTAACTGGCTTTTTAACTTGGCCGATGATGAGAAGCCAGTATTAATTTGGCCTACAGATTTCATTTGTTGCGAACAGGAAAAAGCGATATAAATCAGAGTGGGCCTGATTAAGCCCTGCCTGGAATGACTGGGCTGTAATGAGGGCAGTATGCTGTGTTTGTTGTGGAAGCACTGGGGTGAGCTGGGATAATTACTGTGTGTGTGTGTCTGTGTGAGTGTGTGTGTGTGTGTTTGAGAGAGAGATTGTGTGTGTGTGTGGGATAGTGTGTATAGCGTGTGTGTGTGCGCGTGCGTACGTGTGTGGAAGCACTGGGGTGAGCTGGTCTAATTACACCCTCTAATGGAGGGAACAGGGTCAGCTGCCGGCCTGTCACACAGCGCGAGCAGGTAGGGTGTGTATGTGTGAAAGAGAGCATTGTGGGATAGAGTGAAATAGAACGTGTCAGGGCCAAAATTTGCCAGTGTGTGTGTGTTCAACAGTAATGTCTCAGATCTCATTCATTGGTTTGAGTTTCAACTTTTGAATAAATACAGTGCTGCGCGATTAGCCGAAATGTCTGTTTATTTCCGTTATTTTTTTAAATTGACCACCGTCCGTTCAATTATTCTAATTCCATTTAGTTCTGGTTTTTTCTGTGAGCTCAAAGCGCTGTTGTGGGACTTAGTAGGAAGTTCTAGATTTCAAAAGGCAAATGCTCAACTAAGTTTACAGCAGAAAACGTGGTACTTACATTTACATTTTAGTCATTTAGCAGACGCTCTTATCCAGTGAGTGCATACATTTTTTCCCTTTTTTTTTTTTCATACTGGTCCCCCGTGGGAAACGAACCCACAACCCTGGCGTTGCAAACGCCATGCTCTACCAACTGAGCTACACAGGACTACAATTACCATTATGTAGCCTTCTTGACACACACACACGTTAGAGAAAGAGAGAAGAGCGTGACATGAGGGAGGGACAGAAATGGAAACTGCTCCGTGAGGAAGCCTATCTCTAGCCAACAATACATCTAATTGACTGATAGTTGGCATTAAAACAGTCTTGAAGGTATTCCTTACGTACTTTGAAGAACTACTAAAATAGTGATTTCGTCAGACAGCATAGCCTGCTAGCTAGCCTAATTAGGATGATTCACTGGGGAGCAGAGTGATAGATGGTGGCTGCTACTGCCTGAGCAGAGATGTGATGATGGCTTGGAATGAAATAATATAGTCATCATATGAAAATTATGTAATATACACAACTAAAATATGTTATTAAAGTAAAGTAATGTGATAAAGGATGGGTAGTCATCACCATTGCTTTTATTAATGAAACTGCTAATAAAGTCATCATCATACTAAAACAAATATGTAATATACTCAACTAAAATATTTTATGAAAGAACTATGGTTAATAAGTGATAAGCAGTAATGGGCAGTCACCACCATCATGGGGCTTTTATTAATAGTTTTATTATGTGTGGTTACAGCATTCAACTGACATAATGCATTTATTGCAAAAAAATTGAAAAAATTGGAACCCAAATCAAAGACCGAACCGAACTCAAAAAGCACTAGTCCCTCAGCACTAAAATTGTGAATCGTGCAACGGTGCCAATATATTTAACCGCAACTGTACGTATTCTATATTTCATTATAGTGTGGTACCTGTCTTTGGCCGTTGGTTTGACTGTCTTCTTCTGTGGTGGTTTCTTAGTTGCATTCTTCTTCTTCTGTTCAGAGTCAGACTCACTGGAACTGTTCTCTGATTGGCTGGAGGACTTGTTCGACTCGTCACTGCTCTGACTACTGCTCTTTTCCTCATCGCTCTCCGCCTCGCTGCCTGACTCTGTAACACACAGGTTATTGTCGTACGATTATAAATACTGGACTGGCATTGCAAACACTCACAAAATAACATTATACTTAAATGGTACACACATGGACAAACACAGACAGACCTTCACTACTACTGCTGCTGCTGCTATCATCACTGCTACTGCTCCCTGAGCACTTTTCCTTCTCCTCCTCCTCTCCAGAGTCAGAGTAGAACTTATCATCTGATGACTTGGACAGCTTGGACTTTCCAAGCGAAGGAGTCCACTCCTTCACCTGGCAATGGATTAGGAAGTGAGGTCAGAGGAAGTGAGGTACAGTATGAGGAAGTAAGGAAAGAGGAGGGAGGAGATTCGGGAGAAAAGCAAACCTATTGAAACATTCACTACATGACCAAAAGTATGTAGACACCTGCTCGTGCAACATCTCATTCCAAAATCATGGGCATTAATATGGAGTTGGTCCCCCCCCATTGCTGCTATAACAGCCTCCACTCTTCTGGGAAGACTTTCCACTAGATGTTGGAACATTGCTGCGGGGGCTTGCTTCCATTCAGCCACAAGAGCATTAGTGAGGTCGGGCACTGATGTTGGGCGATTAGGCCTGGCTAATTCACAATAACGGCACTTAAAGTTGGGCAGAAATTTGCCGAACTGTTGGAAAGGTGGCATCCTTTGACGGTGCCACGTTGAAAGTCACTGAGCTCTTCAGTAAGGCCATTCTACTGCCAATGTTTGTCTATGGATATTGCATGGCTGTGTGCTCGATTTTATACACCTGTCAGTAACGGGTGTGGCTGAAATAGCCGAATCCACTAATTTGAAGTTGTGTCCACATACTTTTGTATAACAGTGAGGGGAAAAAGTATTTGATCCCCTGCTGATTTTGTACATTTGCCCACTGACAAATAATTGATAAATCTATAATTTTAATAGTAGGTTTATTTGAACAGTGAGAGAGAGAATAACAACAACAAAAATCCAGAAAAACGCATGTCAAAATTGTTATACATTTGCATTTTAATGAGGGAAATAAGTATTTGACCCCCTCTCAATCAGAAAGATTTCTGGCTCCCAGGTGTCTTTTATACTCTTAAAGGGAGTGCTCCTAATCTCAGCTTGTTACCTGTATAAAAGACACCTGTCCACAGAAGCAATCAATCAATCAGATTCCAAACTCTCCACCATGGCCAAGATCAAAGAGCTCTCCAAGGATGTCAGGGACAAGATTGTAGACCTACACAAGGCTGGAATGGGCTACAAGACCATCGCCAAGCAGCTTGGTGAGAACAGTTGGTGCGATTATTCGCAAATGGAAGAAACACAAAAGAACTGTCAATCTCCCTCGGCCTGGGGCTCCATGCAAGATCTCACCTCGTGGAGTTGCAATGATCATGAGAACGGTGAGGAATCAGCCCAGAACTACACGGGAGGATCTTGTCAATGATCTCAAGGCAGCTGGGACCATAGTCACCAAGAAAACAATTGGTAACACACTACGCCGTGAAGGACTGAAATACTGCAGCGCCCGCAAGGTCCCCCTGCTCAAGAAAGCACATATACAGGGCCGTCTGAAGTTTGCCAATGAACATCTGAATGATTCAGAGGAGAATGGGTAAAAGTGTTGTGGTCAGATGAGACCAAAATGGAGCTCTTTGGCATCAACTCAACTCGCCGTGTTTGGAGGAGGAGGAATGCTGCCTATGACCCCAAGAACACCATCCCCACTGTCAAAAATGGAGGTGGAAACATTATGCTTTGGGGGTGTTTTTCTGCTAAGGGGACAGGACAACTTCACCGCATCAAAGGGACGATGGACGGGGCCATGTACTGTCAAATCTTGGGTGAGAACCTCCCTCAGCAAGGGCATTGAAAATGGGTCGTGGATGGGTATTCCAGCATGACAATGACCCAAAACACACGGCCAAGGCAACAAAGGAGTGGCTCAAGAAGAAGCACATTAAGGTCCTGGAGTGGCCTAGCCAGTCTCCAGACCTTAATTCCATAGAAAATCTGTGGAGGGAGCTGAAGGTTCGAGTTGCCAAACGTCAGCCTCGAAACCTTAATAACTTGGAGAAGATCTGCAAAGAGGAGTGGGACAAAATCCCTCCTGAGATGTGTGCAAACCTGGTGGCCAACTACAAGAAACGTCTGACCTCTGTGATTGCCAACAAGGGTTTTGCCACCAAGTACTAAGTCATGTTTTGCAGAGGGGTCAAATACTTATTTCCCTCATTAAAATGAAAATCAATTTATAACATTTTCAACATGCATTCTTCTGGGTTTTTATGTTGTTATTCTGTCTCTCACTGTTCAAATAAACCTACCATAAAAATTATAGACTGATCATGTCTTTGTCAGTGGGCAAACGTACAAAATCAGCAGGGGATCAAATTATTTTTTCCCTCACTGTATATAGTTTATCAATATGGACCTGTATTAAATGTCTGAGTTGACCAAGTGCCTGGGTGGTGAGCGGGAACGGGCAGTAGAAGTAAAGATGGATCCTTACCGGCTCGATCACCTCCACGTTCCTCACCGATTGGTCAGGAGCCACGGCAGGCCAATCAGAGAGCTCTAGGTAGCCGCTGGCTTTGGTGTTGATGGTGTGGGACAGGGTTCCCAACTGGTAACGATCACGGTCTGACAGAGAGATGGAGGGGAGAGGAGAAAAGAAGAAGATGGAGAGAGGAAGAAAAAGAAGGATAAACAAAGAGGGGAAAATGTGTTAGAGGAGAAACATAATGAGTAACATGGGAGGAGGGAGAGAGGAGAGGAGAAAAGAGGGACGAGAAACAATGAGTAACATTGGAGAAGAAGGGGGGAGAGAAAGAGAGGCAAGGGTCTCAATGTCACAGCAGTGCTCTCTCAATCAGCAGGACAGTGAGTCATTGGCATTCAACACTCTGAAATGTCACTGTATAAACAAACACACAGTGCTGTTTAATAAAGGGTCCAGGAGCCCACACGCACGCACAGAGTAAAACCATTCTCCCTCCCTAATGGTCAATATAGGAGGTGTAATCAGTCAAAGTGCCTGGGGAGGTCTGCCTTCTCTAACCAAAAAGAGAGGGAGAAAAAAAATGAAGAGTTAAAGGGTGAATATTAAGAATGACAGGAGTGGTAACGTTTTCCATAAACATCTAGTAGACGCAGAGACCACCGCAGAATAATAATGTTTAGGACGCTGCTTCTGTCTCTCTCTCATCTGGATTAAAGTCAAGTGTGTGTGTGTGTGTGTGTGAGTTCTCTGCATCTCAAAGGTTATCATTAGCCAGGTAATTCACCCATCTCATCAGAGCCGGGAGAGAGAAGGCCCTGGACCCTCTGCCATTCAGACACACACCAGCATATTAAAAACACACCCGTCTGCATCCCAAATGGCACCCTATTCCCTCTTTAGTACACTACTTCCAAGGTACCTTTGTAGGCGGACTCGAGGACGGGCGCTGGTTTGGGCGCCAACAGGATGCGGCGGGCGTACTTGCTGAGTGCGCCGCTCTTCTCATTGGGCACGATGAGCTGGCGGATGAAACGCGTGCGGTCTCTGATGTCATAGTTCTGGTCATACTTCCCCAGGTTCAGAATGTACTGGGTCAACAACTTGGTCTGGATGGAGGGAGAGGGGGAAGGAGAGAGAGAGAGGTGGGTGGAGGGAAGGAGAGAGGGAGAGAAAGATGGAGGAGATGAAGCAGTAGGAGCAGAGGGAGAGAGGACACACAAATCCAACATAAACACACACACAGCTCCATTAAGGTAAGCTCATGAATCAGTATGGTGCTTCACACTACATTTTCTTCATACCAACACTCTCTTCTCCTCCAGTCCTCCTCCGTCTGCTCACCCTCTCTAGCTGTATGAGTGACAACCTCTCTCTGTGCCAGGTGGGTTTATGGTCTGAGATGGAGAGTGCTTGCCTTAAACTAACATATATCATTTAGTGAGGTATAAAGACAAGACTTACTACCCCCAGAAGGTTGACATTACCTCTCCGTCTCTCACACTCCCTCTATTTTTTCATCCCTTTTTACCTCTTCCCTCTCCACCCCTCTCTCCGTCCACCTCTTTAATCTCTCAAACTATCCCTCTCTCTCTCCCCCCCCCCCATCCTTCTCTCTGAAACATTACCAGGGAAAAGAGGTGTAATGATGTGCTCATTTGAGAAGGCAGCAGCAGCATCTGCAGTGTGGTCATAAACCCAGCCTGGCAGCCATATTGCTTTGCATCTGATAGAATGGATCTGTAGTTAGCATACAAGGGGAGGCAAGGCAATGGTACGACACGCTACATTAAAGCTTGCTCTTAAGGAAGCTGGGAAAACTATATTGTCCAAGAAGCCAAATAACTAGAATCTGGAGGCTACTATGAGGTTGTTTTTTTACATGATAATAAAAGTGATTGTTAGGGCAGAATAACGCTGGAACATATACAGCAGGTTCTACTGTAGCATGTACCCATTGTTTAGTGTAGGCTAGTGTACCTGTTTAGAGTTGGTGAGGTAAAGTTTGGCAGCCAGGTTGACAGTCTGCAGTTTGACGATGTCCTCCTCAGAGGTGAAGGTCTTGGCCATCTTGCGGAGGACGTCAGGGGCGATCTTAGGAACCCTCTCACAGTACTCTCCTATCAGCCACAGGATGCTGGCCCGCGCCATCGGCACCTTGACACACAGAGGGGTTAGTCCTGTTTAGATGGTGTATTTGTGAACAACATGAAGGATAGAGGATAGTTAGGGCTATTACCAGTATGTTTGCATTGTACAGTGCATTCGGAAAGTATTCAGCATTGAAGGTCCCCAAGAACACAGTGGCCTCCATCATTCTTAAATGGAAGAAGTTTGGAACCACTAAGACTCTTCCTAGAGCTGGCCGCCCGGCCAAACAGAGCAATCAGGGGAGAAGGGCCTTGGTCAGGGAGGTGACCAAGAACCAGATGGTCACTCTGACAGAGTTCTAGAGTTCCTCTGTGGAGATGGGAGAACCTTCCAGAAGGACAACCATCTCTGCAGCACTCCACCAATCAGGCCTTTATGGTAGAGTGGCCAGACGGAAGCCACTTCTCAGTAAAAGGCACATGACAGCCTGATTGGAGTTTGCCAATAGGCACCTAAAGACTCTCAGACCATGAGAAACAAGATTCTCTGGTCTGATGAAACCAAGATTGAACTCTTTGGCCTGAATGCCAAGCTTCACGTCTGGAGGAAACCTGGCACCATCCCTAAGGTGAAGCATGGTGGTGGCAGCATTATGCTGTGAGGATGCAGGGACTGGGAAACTAGTCAGGATTGAAGCAAAGATGAACGGAGCAAAGTACAGAGAGATCCTTGATGAAAACCTGCTCCAGAGCGCTCAGGACAACAACCCTAAGCACACAGCCAAGACAACGCAGGAGTGGCTTCGGGACAAATCTCTGAATGTCCTTGAGTGGCCCAGCCAGAGCACGGACTTAAACCCAATCTAACATCTCTGGAGAGACCTGAAAATAGCTGTGCAGCAACGCTCCACATCAAACCTGACAGAGCTTGAGAGGATCTGCAGAGAAGAATGGGAGAAACTCCCCAAATACAGGTGTGCCAAGCTTATAGTGTCATACCCAAGAAGAATCGAGGCTGTAATCACTGCCAAAGGTGCTTCAACAAAGTACTGAGTAAAGGGTCTGAATACTTATGTAAATGTGATATTTAAGTTTTTTTATTAATAATAAATGTGCAATAATTTCTAAAAACCTGTTTTTGCTTTGTCATTACGCTGTATTGTGTGTAGATTGATGAGGGATATATATTTTTTTACATCCATTTTAGATTAAGGCTGTAACGTAACAAAATGTGGAAAATGTCAAGGGGTCTAAATACTTTCCGAATGCACTGTATATTTGGGTATGCATTTTGAGTCCCAACTCACACAAGCTCAGCCGCAAGAGCAAGTACACAGAGACAGACACGTTCAGATAGTGGCAGACGTACAGTGATGTTGTCGAAGAGTTTGGCCATGTGTTTGATGATGTCACTGTGCTGGGTGGGCTGGGTCTGGAGAAGCTTCTTGATCACCACCACGCTCTCAGCCACCACCGTCTCTGTAAGGACACAATACATTTCTATTTGAAAATGTAACTAAATGTATCTACGTAATCCCCAAAAGTAATAATTTATTGTGAGAGGGGCATAAACAAAAACTAGTAATGCTGCATACTCCAAGAAAAGGTTAAAATCTCACCTTTTTAGTAAAAATAGTTATAAATTGCTGAGGTGTAATCACTTTTGAGGACACAAGCTCAAGTACACAGTACAAATATGATGAAAATATGAAATATTTTATATGATGTATTTCCTATTCAACAAGTGTATGAATAAGGCTTGAAATTACATTTTTTTCTAAATATAGTATAATCAACTTCTAAAACTATAAGATTTCACCTTCCTTATAAGTGTAAAATACATATTTGTATATTGTGATAGAGAAAATGTGCATATTTTCTAAAGGTCTCACTTTATCAAAACGTCAGACCTTCTCACAGAGCTCTAGCCTTGCTTCCTGAACTCGTTATGGACTCGTTTCATCTCATAATAATCTTGTCCGTCTATGACAAACAGAAAGTGTTTATGTTTAGAATCTATGAATTAGTTTAGATTACTGGCTATAAATCGATCTCAATGTGGTACAGCTATGAAACCACTCTCTCCTGCTCCGTTACGAGGTAAGGATTCCAGGCATATGCGTTGTTAGTGGCTGTGAAGTAGGGTTCAGCCAGGAGTTGATGGACAGTCGGAAGAGCGAATGAAATGGTAGGAGGGACATCACAGCTTCGAGTGGTGTCATATTTCACATCTTGCTTCACACAGGCAGAATAAACATACTCCTGTGTCTATGAGAATCAGGGCTACCGCTCAATACAAGCCATTTCAATACACATATGGATTTATAAGTGAATATGTCGGTCAGAACTGGTACTAGCAACACGCAGGTCCCTAAAACTGGGAACTTTACATTTAAAATACATACAAAAGAGAGAGTTTGACGCATATATCCAACTTTGAACAGGAGCTGGCAAAGAAAACCAATCAGTCGATCAATCAATCATCAATCAATCAATCGTTCAATTGATCAGTGGTTCCGTACCATCTCGGTTGGAGAGCAGCAGCACCAGCCCTTGGAGGCAGGTGTCTGTCACCTCAGAGATGTTGGTGGCACACCTGCCGATGGCCTGGATGGTACCGGCAGCAAACTGCTTATCCTGGCTCTTCACATAAGTCTGTTCAAATCAAAGCACAAGGTGAAGCCATTCATTGTATGTAAAAGGCGATAAATATATGTGGAATTGCTGCCAGTGATGGAAAGGGATATTGAATAAGAAAAAATACAAAAAGAGAGAGAGCGAAAGAGAGAGAGAAAGCAACAGAGATAATCAAAGAGAGAGAGACTTACCTGGAACTCTCTAAGGATGGTTGAGATGTTGGCTTCGTTGGCCAGGTTGGTCAAGATCTCCAGCTGGGGAGACAAGATAGGTCTGATCACACACCTGACCTCATCTCATGGTTTACTTTTAGATTAGCTAGGTCATCATGAGGGAGCTTACCTTGAGTGACTTGATGTGAGTGGCATCTGTGGATCTCACATAGAAACTCTTCATGTAAGGTTCAAACATGCCCTGGTGGGAGAACATAAAACCATAATGTTACTTCATTATAAAAGACAGAGGCTGCGCGACTGGATTGAACTGCCCCGTTCCACCCCCATTGCACAGGACGCCTCTTCCCCAGAGCTTAACAGCCTTGTCACGCTCTGTGCATGTTATCTTCCAAGATATGCTGCCTAGATAGCTGCATGTACAGTTGAAGTTATGGCAAGTCGGTTAGGACATCTACTTTGTGCATGACAAGTAATTTTTCCAATAATTGTTTACAGACAGATTATTTCACTTATAATTCACAGTATCACAATTCCAGTGGGTCAGAAGTTTACATACACTAAGTTGACAGTGCCTTTAAACAGCTTGGAAAATTCCAGAAAATGATGTCATGGCTTTAGAAGCTTCTGATAGGCTAATTGACATCATTTGAGTCAATTGGAGGTGTCCCTGTGGATGTATTTCAAGGCCTACCTTCAAACTCAGTGCCTCTTTGCTTGACATCATGGGAAAATCAAAATAAATCAGCAAAGACCTCAGAAAAATAATTGTAGACCTCCACAAGTCTGGTTCATCCTTGGGAGCAATTTCCAAACGTCTGACGGCACCACATTCATCTGTACAAACAATAGTACGCAAGTATAAACACAATGGGACCACACAGCCGTCATATCGCTCAGGAAGGAGACGCGTTCTGTCTCCTAGAGATGAACGTACTTTGGTGCGAAAAGTGCAAATCAATCCCAGAACAACAGCAAAAGACCTTGTGAAGATGCTGGAGGAAACGGGTACAAAAGTATCTATATCCACAATAAAACGAGTCCTATATCGAGATAACCTGAAAGGCCGCTCAGCAAGGAAGAAGCCACTGCTCCAAAACCACCATAAAAAAGCCAGACTACGGTTTGCAACTGCACATGGGGACAAAGATCGTACTTTTTGGAGAAATGTCCTCTGGTCTGATGAAACAAAAATAGAACTGTTTGGCCATAATGACCATCGTTATGTTTGGAGGAAAATGGGGACGGCTTGCAAGCCAAAGAACACCATCCCAACCGTGAAGCACGGGGGTGGCAGCATCATGCTGTGGGGGTGCTTTGCTGCAGGAGGGACTGGTGCACTTCACAAAATAGATGGCATCATGAGGAAGGAAAATTATGTGGATATATTGAAGCAACATCTCAAGACATCATTCAGGAAGTTAAAGCTTGGTCGCAAATGGGTCTTCCAAATGGACAATGACCCCAAGCATACTTCCAAAGTTGTGGCAAAATGACTTAAGGACAACAAAATCAAGGTGTTGGAGTTGCCATCACAAAGCCCTGACCTCAATCCTATAGAACATTTGTGGTCAGAACTGAACAAGCGTGTGCGAGCAAGGAGGCCTACAAACCTGACACAGTTACACCAGCTCTGTCAGGAGGAATGGGCCAAAATTCACCCAACTTATTGTGGGAAGCTTGTGGAAGGCTACCCAAAATGTTTGACCCAAGTTAAAATGTTTAAAGACTGCTACCAAATACTAATTGATTGTATGTAAACTTCTGACCCACTGGGAATGTGATGAAATAAATAAAAGCTGAAATAAATAATTCTCTCTACTATTATTCTATTTCACATTCTTAAAATAAAGTGGTGATCCTAACTGACCTAAAACAGGGAATCTTTACTAGGATTAAATGTCAGGAATTGTGAATAACAGTTTAAATATATTTGGCTAAGGTGTATGTAAATTTCCGACTTCCCATCTGAAAAAAGCATATTAAATCGCTACTTAAGACTGAGTGTCCTGCTTTTCTTTGTAATACTGCAATGTTATTAGTTAAAACAGACAACGAAGTTTGTACAACATGTCGACCATGTTTATTATAGTCACTACAGAATTTTGTAGTCTACAACATCTCGATCATGTCGTTTATAGTTACAACAGACAAGACATCATTTTCTGATCATCGCCAGACGTAGCACATGCGCAGAAGGTACGGTTGTTAAGCTATCTCGGCAAGAGGCGTCCAGAGAATCTGGTCACGCAGCCACTCTGGTAATAAAACAGTAACAGGTAACACACGCAATTATCTGTCCTGCAGTTGACACTGAAGAAGCCATGTTTAGAGCCTTACCTTCCTCTGGATAGACATGGTGGCTATGTTCTGTAACACAATGTACTGCACCTCTCTGACAGGGCGAGACAGAAGGGAAACATGATTAAGTGCCTTTTTTGTCCTCACAACAATGGAGGGAGGGTGAGAGAGAAAAGAGAAAGAAAGAGTGGGGTTGGGGCGTACCTGTGGCTTCGGAGCAGTCTGACCAGTGACTTGGTGACGATGCTGATCTCGTGTTTAGGAGCCAGGTGCCAGTATAGCTGGGCTACTGACATCACCACCTGACCGACAGCGGACAACAGACATCAACAGACACATCTAACATGGCCGTCTAGCCACGCCTCAAATACAGGCAGTGTTTCTCAACTCCAGTCATGCTGTATCTAGGCTGGTCCCAGTTGAATTTGTGCTGTCTTGCCAAGTCCTATGGTCATTGTCAAGCCATTCTTTGGTGTCACAGACCATAGGATTCGGCAAGACAATACAAATAGCCCTGGGACCAGGCAGTGCTGTATCTACTCCTCATGTAGGATGGGTCTTTTCTCTTCCCTCTGGACACAAAGCTTTTAAAGCTCCATATATCAAACAGCAACACCAAAGTCAAGTGCCATATGTTATTAAATGTGAGGAATGTAATTTAGAAGGTAACAGATAGCCAGAGTAAGGACTGAGGAGTGACATTTGGAAGAAGTGACGGTAAGTGTCGGTAAGATGGAGGGCCGCATCGTGTTCTCTCTGTTAAAGAAACAACATGTCGCATTTTAAGCAACATGCTCACTTGGGACAATTTTTCCTCCCGCTGCTACACTGCCACACAGACCTCGAGTCTCCTGGGTGATGGAGACCTGCTCACAGTGTGTGTGTGTGTGTGTGCGCAGCGGCAGCATCAGTCGTGGCGTAGCCTTGGTTCCAGAGACAGCTGTGCGGAAGGAGTGAAAACAGAACCCCATACTCAGACGCCTTCATCAAGGCTGCCTGTATCCCTCACAGCCAGCAGGTTCAACAGCCGTCAACACTGTCTCACACACACACACAGTTTACTGCTGCATGCGTGTGTGTTTATACATCCGTGTGTGTGTGTGTGAGAGAGACTCGGAACAGTGTGTGTGTGCGCGCGTGTGTGACTCACGGCAGTGTTTCTACTCTGTAGTAGAGGCTTGGTGTTCCTGAGGAGCAGTCTGTGGTCGGGGTCCATCATGTAGGACTTGGCCTCCTTCTCATTTTCTGTCTTCTCCTCATCAGACTCATAGAACGCCCTCTCACTGTTCTCATCAAACAGACCGTCCTGAAACACACACAGGTGTCTTTCATTCTGTCATTTTATTTCACTGCCATACACAGCACACATGCCAATGTGATAGCACATCAGCCACATATTTACATTCAGGTGTCACCTCATCATGTCAACTCAACATGTCAATTTATCAAGCCAGATGCATACGCACATCTACAAGTTGCTTGCAGGTGAGTTGGAGAAGTGCGCTCGCTAAGTATCACTTTCTTACTACGCCAACGTTTTGGTCTTTTGACCTTCGTCAAGTAATGACAATAAACAACAGATAGATACTGAAAGCACATCTTGTGTAGGGTTTCTTTTAAATACATGATGTTTACACGTCACCGTCACCTACTGGAAGATTACGCTGGGTGACAAATAGCTGATTCAAGACCTACAGTACATTTCAACAACACGCACGGTTCATGTCTATTGTTGAAATAACTAAATATAGGCTATATTTGACTCATCACACTGAATCAATAATTACCTTAATACCTCAGTGTTGATGTTCTATAGATATCTGGTGTTTAGTCTCTTACCTGAGCCCTTTCCTGGTCCGCTTAAGAGAGACTTTCAAGAGAAGCCATTACATCTTATTCATCTCAAATCTCAAAGTAAAATAAAAGGGCTTCACTACACTGTTCTGATACAAACCATGTATTCGCCTCTCTTTCACTCTTCTTGCTCTCGTTCTCCATCCCTCCATCTCGCACCTCTTTCCACAGGCTGGTGCACTCAGTCAACATGATGATGACCACCTGACCCCACTCCTCCCTCCCCTCCTCCATCCCTCACCTCTTTCCAGGGGCTGGTGCGCTCGGTCAACATGATGATGACCACCTGACCCCACTCCTCCCTCCCCTCCTCCATCCCTCACCTCTTTCCAGGGGCTGGTGTGCTCGGTCAACATGATGATGACCACCTGACTCCCCTCCTCCATCCCTCACCTCTTTCCAGGGGCTGGTGCGCTCGGTCAACATGATGATGACCACCTGACCCCACTCCTCCCTCCCCTCCTCCATCCCTCACCTCTTTCCAGGGGCTGGTGCGCTCGGTCAACATGATGATGACCACCTGACTCCCCTCCTCCATCCCTCACCTCTTTCCAAGGGCTGGTGCGCTCGGTCAACATGATGATGACCACCTGACTCCCCTCCTCCATCCCTCACCTCTTTCCAGGGGCTGGTGCGCTCGGTCAACATGATGATGACCACCTGACCCCCCTACTCCATCCCTCACCTCTTTCCAGGGGCTGGTGAACTGTGTCCTGGCGTAGCGTGTCAACATGGAGATGATGACCACCTGACCCCACTCCTCCACATCCACCAGTAGATTACAGAGTTTACGGTAGTTCTTATGGATCAGGTCAATACGGTCCGGACACACTTCCTCAAAGGCCATCACCACGCTGCCCGCTACCAGCTATAGGAGGAGACATTGTGTTACTGCAGGGCTTGAGTAAAAGCCTACACACTCAGTAACTCTCCAGGATCCGACTTGGAGACCCCTGCTCTAGTCTGAGCACATCATACGGTTACGTCTTGGTTAGAAAGACAGAGTGTACTTCATGATCTAAAAGCAAGAATTGTGTTTATGAACAGTTAGATTACAGCAAAGAGCCAGGCACCAGACAGGAGAGGAATAACTGGGTGGAAAATTACAGCATTTAAAGTCTACACTGAACAAATCTCATTTTGCATCACCATGGTAAAAGGCATCCTTCCATCGCTCATACACAACCTAAATATTTCTCAGATTTTACCACAGACTTTTAATTTTTCCTTCAACTCATAACTAATTTCATGTTCTATTCATGAGACAAGAGAAAGGGGGAAGTGGGAGGATGGAGGGAGAGAGGGAGGAAAGGGACGGGGGGGGGGGGGGGGGCAATCAAGTACATTTTATTGGGAGAAAAAAATCAATTTGTCTGGTCCGTATTCTATTCCTATAGTGCTGCTGGCTGGCAGACTGACTGATTGACATGGCTGTGTATTAATATGCAAACAGCATTAACGCAGAGAGGCAAGGGGGGACAAGGAAGGAGTAGGGGAGGCGAGGAGAGGGGTGGCGGATCCGGTCTCTCCCATTAGAAAAGACTGGCCCCTGGTGGCCCCTGTGGAAACCCTGTACGTTTACCCATCAGCCCTGACGTGCAGCTGCATTGATTGTGTGTGTGCGCGTGTGCGTTTGAGGCCCTCTGACAATTGGGGAGCTGGGAACCGAAGCGCTAATCATTCAACAATCTGGACAGCTTTAGGGAGTAGGCTTCTCAATGACTGGTAAAACTACAGAAAAGGTGTGCGAGGTAAAATGCGTGTTTGGGAGTAGCCTAACTTTGCAACCAATATTAAGTTTTTTAATTAAAAAGAAGCTGTTCGGTAAAAAATAAATAACATATGGGCGAAACAAATCAAAACAGAGGCAAGGAACATATTGTTTAAGCACTCGGTTTAGCAAGCAATTAGGAAACCCACAGGCAATAAGAAACCTCATATAAGCAGAGTTGAACATGCGTGCTTGTGATTTATAATTGGAAAGTGGCCTAGCTGGGAAATGTATGTGTGGTTTATAATTGTTATGCAAAGTGTGCTTGGTCTCAGAACTAACAGATACTGGATGTAAAGTTCCAACTCTGCAAACCTCATCTAGTGCATAGCCCTTATATTGGAGTATAGTACTGACAGGACTTGAACAGGAACTTTGCGAGAATGTGCCCGTGTGTGTCAATGGATACACTGATGTTTCTAGTATCTCAGGCCAGTGTTATGTTCCCTCCGACGTCTGTCTGTCTCTCTCTCTCTAAGCCATTTACAGACAGTCTCTGGGCCTGCCTCCTCAGCCTCTCTTTGTGCATTCTCTCGCTCTCCCTTCCTCTCTCGGTACCTCTCCCCCCGTCCCTCTCCCCAACCTCCCTCTCAACTTCCCCCATTAGACGCAGGTAAACTACATGCGCCATCAACAAAACTGACACCCCAATCTATGGAGTTCACAACCATCCCTCCCCCTCCCTCCCCCATCCACTTCCACCATATTATCTACACTACGTGACAAGCCAGTAATGGAAAAATCACACTAAGCAAATGGTTCCTCTAATAACAATAAATTTCCTATAAAATTATGAGGGGCCCAAACCATTTCCTTGCATCTATTTTGTCATGAATTCTAATTAGGGCACCAGGGAGGCGGCGAGTGCTGGGTGGCCTTGATTGATGGCACGGCGCAGGGTCAGTCAGCCTACCCTCCCTGCGTTCTCTCTATCCTCTCCTCCATTTTTCTATCTCCTCCCTCCTCTTTCTCTTAAATGAATGGGCTTCCCACCTAGCCCCTAATCATACCACACACACACTCCTCCCTGTTCTCATTTCAATTTTGCAGGAGGTGCAGGGAGAGGCAGAGCGCCGGGATGGGAGGGATCGATCATTTATCATGTAATGGCTGGATAATAGATCCATCACATTGAAACAGCTGCACAACCTCCTGTGTTGTTTCTCTCTCGCTCTCTCTCTCTCTCTCAACAGCCCTTCTCTTCTCACCATCCTCTCTTTAACCAGGGGTGTCACGCTCATTTAGCCTAAAGGGGCCATCACCGTTCAGACCAATGTCACGAAGGCTACAAAGGAGCAAGAACTAAGACAGCCAAATATCTTTTTTTATATCTCTCTAAATATACTTACATTGTAACATACCCAACATAACTGTGAATTCAATGCCTTTTTGAGAATCCTTATTTATACAACGCACAATCATTTCTAATAATGGTGGAGGCTAGTTTTGGGGCACAGGCAGGGGACACATCAGATCTGATGGAGGTGGGCTACACTTGGCTCCTGGACCGCATGTCTGGGACACCTCAGCTTTATATCCTGTCCCAGACACTCGTGGAACACAGTCCATTTCTACATGGTCAGCCTGTGATTCTCACTCTCCAGAATGATAGCAGGTTGCTATCTCAATGTGAAGGGGAATATCAGCTTAAAGCTTTATTTTTCTCCAGGTGAAAACCTGCCTAGTCTGCCAAGTGTATATTGTGTGACATCTTGTGTAAATGCACTTTAAATAAAGTTTGATTTGAAATACTACTGTGGGATGAACGTTGATAAAACAGGTAATACAAGATATTTGTAAAATACATTCAAAGATGGTTCTTATGATGCTTTGGTCAAAATAAAGAGAATTTTATCCATATAAATGCAGATGTCCTTTGAATAAGAGGACAAACAACACGATAGATCACCGACAGAAAGCAAAGAGCTTAAACTGGCAATAAATAAATTGGTATAGAAGCTCTCTGAAATTCTAATAACAATCATAACACAAAAATACCCCCGAAAAGTCATTAGCATTCCGGTCTTATTAATCTTCTTCCAGTACAAAACACAGCGCATGGACTTGTGTGACTGTGCCCTTTCTCCATGTCCCCCAGCCAGCTAGCCTCATTGAGAGAGTGTTTCAATGGGGAGAAATCATCTATCTTCGTTAGTGACTGAAGCTAAATATGCTATGCATCTGGTCCTGGGCTCCCCCCCCCCCTCCTTAGTGCTACGGGTTATTTTATATAATGAGAGATGCATGCAATGAATACGTAATTGCGAGAGCGAGAGAGACCGTGTATGGTTTGTATTTACTAACATGTAAAAGGGCATTCTATATGCTAACTTCAGCACGTACACAATTTACATTTATTTAACTAGCCTTTATAAGAGCATTTATGTATTTATTGTGACCTTCTGGAGAATATGCGCTATCTATTATCCTAATAGCAAAAGGAGACGCTGTATTTGTGACTGGCTAGCTGCTTCAAACACTAGTTGGAGAACACCATCAGGCTAATCTAGAAAAAATAACTTGGCCTTAGCAAGCAAATTAAGGTGACACCAGCATCAGTGAGAGAATGCCTTTCTAAATGGACAGTTAAATCCACACAACTTCAGATGCTCCTAGTTAAGTGGGCGCTAACAAAGCATGGCATTGGTGAATGAGCTGAGCTGAGGAGAGAGAGAGAGAGAGATAGGTGTAATGATGAGGGGAACTGTTCTGTTGGAGTGGAGCACCCTCTGGTGGTTGGATGGGATTACTGCACCTAGTGGACTAGCGGTAGTAGTGACATTATGGATTTGGTTTGAATTAATGCATTAAGAGAGTAGGGACTGACCGCTGAACCTGTCTGATATCAAATGAATGAAATAGATGAAAACCTATCTAATCCATGATTATTACTGCTTTGTTCATGGCATGCCGGTTTTCCTGTATGGCGTTTGTTTTGTGAGGTCTCCAGTGTTTCCTCTAAGGATTTTTTCTAGCTGTGGCAAAGTTAGCGTTGGGGGGCAATCCTGTTGGCAGCAGATACAAAATGTTGCTGTTTTAAAGCAAATTTCCTGCAATTCTACATATTTTGACATGGGGCATTTTACAGTTGTAAAACTGGTTTCCTGTGATACTACACATTTTGTCACGTCTTATCCCATGTTCTTATGCCATTGGAGTGACTCAAACATAAAATCAATGGGGGCCCCATGCCATGCATGACATTTGGGGAATTTTAGATTCTCCCTGACTGTCTAGTTTTATTTTGGTGATTGTTAGTCTCAAAGATAGTCTTCTAAAAAAAATATATAGCTCCATTATCTTTCTACATATTTTATATCTTGGTCTAGTCGTTTAAGTTTACACTGAAAACATTTTACCATCCCCAAAATTATTTTGATTAGCTGGTAATGTGAAATGGTTTTACTCACTGTGCTTTTGTCCTTCAGTAGTTTCTCAATTACTTCTATCAGGTGCTCCTTCTGATCCGGATCCAGGCTAAGGAGAAGGATAAGGAAAGCTTTGATTCCACTCCCAGTTCCATTGCTTTACACACACACACACACACACACACACACACTACCTGTAGAGTTTCTGGATGGCGTGAGCGGATGTTTTCCTGACGTAAGGGGACATGTCGGAGGCAGCCTCCTTGATGGCCAGCATCATGATGGGAACGATGATGGGGACTCTGATGCTGGACAGAACCCTCAGAGCACTGGCTCTGATCAGCTGGTTAGGGTCCTGGTAGAGGACAGATAGGGGATATTAGGATTATTTTTAACACATTCACAAGTGCGCACACACACACGCACACATAGACACTTCCACAAAGATGTACACATTGAGACAGACTGAGGAAAGTAAAAGATAAAAAATAAAGAACTGGAGACAGAAATCTCTCATGTGGTTTGGGTTAAGAGATACTGAAGACATAATACAGTACTACACTCCAAACACACACACACACACACACACACAAAGCAGACACACATACATGCTGGGAGGAAGTGAAGCATGGTGTAGAGCTAGCAGGGGCTGAAATGGGTTTTCCAGCTCTGGGGCCTGAGACACATCAGGGTGAATGGGTGTTGTCCACAGAACTTACATAGAGACAGACAGCGTCTCGTTAATGGCTCAATAGTCCTACACACACTCTCACACCTTTATACACGTACATACCAAACATGATAGTTTCTTCCAAGACCTGTATGAGTGTGTGGGAATTCAAATGGTAAAAACGCTCAGCATCAAAGCCTGCTGTGCACACACCACACACATACGTGTTACCTTGAGGGCCCTCTGAAAGGTGCTGATGGACAGTAGAGCCAGGTCCTGCTGCTCCTCAGCATACCTCACCAGGTACACATACACCAACTTCTTCAGCTGGAATACACACTTTGAATTAGTCATTGAAGAAATCCCAAGTCTATGTGATTCACTTTTGGGTTGAGCTCAGTACACATTACAAAATGTTTAGGGTAACACTATTCTTGGACACAGTGGAGAGAATGGTGCTTTGGCTAGACTTCAGATGTATTTCTTGGGTTGGTTGTTTTAGCAGAGGTTGAAAGTGTTCCTGTTTGATATTATTACAGTCTAGATCCCATTTTGTTTCAGGGAGAGCAGAGAATGAGCTAAAAAAGTTTTTGTTTGACTTCTTCCCCCTCCTCGCTTCTCTCTTCACACGTAGGGGAGACTGAGTTAATGTGGTCTTCTGTAGCTCAGCTGGTAGAGCACGGCGCTTGAAACGCCAAGGTAGTGGGTTCGATCCCTGGGACCACCCATACACAAAAATGTATGCACGCATGACTGTAAGTCGCTTTGGATAAAAGCGTCTGCTAAATGGCATATTATTATTATCTGTCAAGTGTCCGACTGGGAGTTAAAGGAGTCAGATGAACTTGTGGATACCATTTTTATGTCTCTGCGTCCAGTATGAAGGAAGTTGCTAAGTAGCGCAACTGCTAACTAGCGTTAGCGCAATGACTGGAAGTCTATGGGTATGTGCTAGCATGCTAGCAGATATCCATACACTTCCAGTCACTGCGCTAACTCTAGTTAGCATTGGCTCACAAAACGACCTCTTACTTCCTTCATACTTGACACAGACATAAAAATGGTATCCACGGTTTCATCTGACTCTGAGGAAGTAGATAAAGGGCCTCATTGCCAAAATCCCGAAGTATCCCTTTAAAGGTTGGCCATTTCATGATTCACTTCAGTGTTATTCGGTGTGCTAAGTGTGTGTACAAGGGGAGGTTCAGCTGTGGTTTTCAATCATCATTGCTGTAATTAGTGGGTGAATTAACATCATTACTGAGTCTAAGAGGGGACATAACCCATCTGGCCATGTCTAAGGGGAATCACATATCGAAAACATCACAGAAATAGATGCTCAAATTTAGGAATACTAATCAAATATGCTAGGGATTTAATTTCCATTATTTGATCAGTTATCAGATACCTATAACCATACTCCATATAGCCCTCCATCTCCCACTCATACACACACACCTCAAGGCTTTCTAGTCTTAGGGTGTTGTTGCTAGCGCTGGTTGAAGTAAACAAAGCATCCTGATATTAAATCACACTATTCCGTCAATAATCTGTGTCCTCCAGTGCTGCTTTCTGATTAGAGACAATCAATAACACACAGCAAAGCAGCAGAGAGGGGAGAGTGGGGGAGGAGTGGGGGACAAGATAGACAGAGTGACTGAGCTGCCCGCAGAGAAGTGAGGACAGAGAGTGAGAGAGAGCGAGAATGAGAGCGGGCCACAGAGAGGGACCTAGCACTACCCTAGCAGCTGGTGTGTGTGTGTGAGGGGAGAGAGAGGAGACGTGACCATGGGCTATCCTCTGCCAATTACCCCCACCCACATGCTCCAGTTCCCTACCACGGGCTGGGCTGCCCCACACACACCTCACAGGCTGCCCCTCGTACTGCCCGTTAATTCCGCTGATCAATATTACCAGGCAGTGGTTCTGTGATCTCTTCCTGGCAGTGGGAGCAATCTCATCCATCTTGTCTTAGATAGAATGTACTAAACGTTATGCAAATACAATGGATGCTCTGTGCATGAGTGTGTGGTTGACCACATACCTCTATATTCTTACTGGCCACGTTCTTCACCACTGCTGGGAACAGCTCGGAAGCATTCTTCCCCTTGGCGATCAGCTGCAGACACAATATCACTTGCATGTTTCAACACAGTATTCAATGTGTTATTACACTGTACATACAGTGCATTCAGAAAGTATTCAGACCACTTCTCTTTTTCCACATTTTCTTATGTTACAGCCTTATTCTAAAATTGATTAAATGATTTTCCTCATCAATCTACACACAACACCCCACAATGCCAAAGTGAAAACAGGTTTTTATCAATTTTTGCTAATTTATATACAGTACCAGTCAAAAGTTTGGACACACCTACTCATTCAAGGGTTTTTCTTTATTTTTACTATTTTCTACATTGTAGAATAATAGTGAAGACATCAAAACTATGAAATAACACATATGGAATCATGTAGTAACCAAAAAAGTATATTTTATATTTGAGATTCTTCAAAGTAGACACTTTGCCTTGATGACAGCTTTGCACACTCTTGGCATTCTCTCAACCAGCTTCACCTGGAATACTTTTCCAACAGTCTTGAAGGAGTTCCCACATATGCTGAGCACTTGTTGGCTACTTTTCCTTCACTCCGAGGTCCAACTCATCCCAAACCATCTCAATTGGGTTGAGGTTGGGTGATTGTGGAGGCAAGGTCATCTGATGCAGCACTCCATCCCTCTCCTTCTTGGTCAAATAGCCCTTACACAGCCTGGAGGTGTGTTGGGCCATTGTCCTGTTGAAAAACAAATGATAGTCCCACTAAGCCCAAACCAGATGGGATGGCGTATCGCTGCAGAATGCTGTGGTAGCCATGCTGGTTAAGTGTGCCTTGAATTCTAAATAAATCACAGACAGTGTCACCAGCAAAGCACCCCACATCATCACACCTCCTCCATGCTTCGCGGTGGGAACTACACATGCAGAGATCATCCGTTCACCTACTCTGCGTCTCACAAAGACACGCCGGTTGAAACTATAAATCTCAAATTTGGACTCATCAGACCAAAGGACAGATTTCCACCGGTCTAATGTCCATTGCTCGTGTTTCTTGGCCCAAGCAAGTCTCTTCTTATTATTGGTGTCCTTTAGTAGTGGTTTCTTTGCAGCAATTCGACCATGAAGGCATGATTCACGCAGTCTCTGCTGAACAGTTGATGTTGAGATGCGTCTGTTACTTGAACTCGGTGAAGCATTTATTTGGGCTGCAATTTCTGAGCCTGGTAAATCTAATGAAACTGTTTCATCATAGTGCTTGATGGTTTTTGCGACTGCACTTGAAGAAACGTAAAGTTTTTGAAATGTTCCGTATTGACTGACCTTCATGTCTTAAAGTAATGATGGACTGTCGTTTCTCGTTGCTTATTTGAGCTGTTCTTGCCATAATATGGACTTGGTCTTTTACCAAATAGGGCTATCTTCTGTATATCACCCATACCTTGTCACAACACAACTGATTGTCTTAAACGCATTAAGGAAAGAAATTCCACAAATTACAGTGAGGGAAAAAAGTATTTGATCCCCTGCTCATTTTGTATGTTTGCCCACTGACAAAGAAATGATCAGTCTATAATTTTAATGGTAGGTTTATTTGAACAGTGAGAGACAGAATAACAAAACAAAAATCCAGAAAAACACATGTCAAAAATGTTATAAATTCATTTGCATTTTAATGAGGGAAATAAGTATTTGACCCCCTCTCAATCAGAAAGATTTCTGGCTCCCAGGTGTCTTTTATACAGGTAACGAGCTGAGAATAGGAGCACACTCTTAAAGGGAGTGCTCCTAATCTCAGCTTGTTACCTGTATAAAAGACACCTGTCCACAGAAGCAATCAATCAATCGGATTCCAAACTCCCCACCATGGCCAAGACCAAAGAGCTCTCCAAGGATGTCAGGGACAAGATTGTAGACCTACACAAGGCTGGAATGGGCTACAAGACCATCGCCAAGCAGCTTGGTGAGAAGGTGACAACAGTTGGTGCGATTATTCGCAAATGGAAGAAACACAAAATAACTGTCAATCTCCCTCGGCCTGGGGCTCCATGCAAGACCTCACCTCGTGGAGTTGCAATGATCATGAGAACGGTGAGGAATCAGCCCAGAACTACACGGGAGGATCTTGTCAATGATCTCAAGGCAGCTGGGACCATAGTCACCAAGAAAACAATTGGTAACACACTACGCCGTGAAGGACTGAAATCCTGCAGCGCCCGCAAGGTCCCCCTGTTCAAGAAAGCACATATACAGGGCCGTCTGAAGTTTGCCAATGAACATCTGAATGATTCAGAGGAGAACTGGGTGAAAGTGTTGTGGTCAGATGAGACCAAAATCGAGCCGTGTTTGGAGGAGGAGGAATGCTGCCTATGACCCCAAGAACACCATCCCCACCATCAAACATGGAGGTGGAAACATTATGTTTTGGGTGTGTTTTTCTGCTAAGGGGACAGGACAACTTCACCGCATCAAAGTGACGATGGACGGGGCCATGTACCGTCAAATCTTGGGTGAGAACCTCCTTCCCTCAGCCAGGGCATTGAAAATGGGTCGTGGATGGGTATTCCAGCATGACAATGACCCAAAACACACGGCCAAGGCAACAAAGGAGTGGCTCAAGAAGAAGCACATTAAGGTCCTAGAGTAGCCTAGCCAGTCTCCAGACCTTAATCCCATAAAAAAATCTGTGGAGGGAGCTGAAAGTTCGAGTTGCCAAACGTCAGCCTCGAAACCTTAATGACTTGGAGAAGATCTGCAAAAAGGAGTGGGACAAAATCCCTCCTGAGATGTGTGTAAACCTGGTGGCCAACTACAAGAAACGTCTGACCTCTGTGATTGCCAACAAGGGTTTTGCCACCAAGTACTAAGTAATGTTTTGCAGAGGGTTCAAATACTTATTTCCCTCATTAAAATGCATATCAATTTATAACATTTTTGATATCGTTTTTCTGGATTTATTTGTTGTTATTCTGTCTCTCATTGTTCAAATAAACCTACCATTAAAGTTATAGACCGATCATATCTTTGTCTGTGGGCAAACGTACAAAATCAGCAGGGGATCAAATACTTTTTTCCCCTCACTGTAACTTTTAACAAGGCACACCTGTTAATTGAAATGCATTCCAGGTGACTACCTCATGAAGCTGGTTGAGAGAATGCCAAGTGTGCAAAGCTGTCATCAAGGCAAAGGGTGGCTATTTGAAGAATCTCAAATATAAAATATGTGTTTTGATTTGTTTAACACTTTTTTGGTTACTATATGATTCCATATGTGTTATTTCATAGTTTTGATGTCTTCACTATTATTCTACAATATAGAAAATAGTAAAAATAAAGAAAAACTCTGGAATGAGTAGGTGTCCAAACCTTTGACTGGTACTGAATATAAAAAAATGATATACACTACTGTTCAAAAGTTTGGGATCACTTAGAAATGTCCTTGTTTTCCATGAAAACATACATGAAATGAGTTTGAATAGGAAATTGAGCAAAATGCATAGGAAATGTAGTCATTGACAAGGTTAGAAATAATGATTTTTAATTGAAATAATAATTGTGTCCTTCAAACTTTGCTTTCGTCAAAGAATCCTCCATTTGCAGCAATTACAGCCTTGCAGACCTTTGGCATTCTAGTTGTCAGTTTGTTGAGGTAATCTGAAGAGATTTCACCCCATGCTTCCTGAAGCACCTCCCACAAGTTGGATTGGCTTGATGGGCACTTCTTACGTACCATACAGTCAAGCTGCTCCCACAACAGCTCAATAGGGTTGAGATCCGGTGACTGTGCTGGCCACTCCATTATAGACAGAATACCAGCTGACTGTTTCTTCCCTAAATAGTTATTGCATAGTTTGGAGCTGTGCTTTGGGTCATTGTCCAGCTGTAGGAGGAAATTGTCTCCAATCAAGCGCCGTCCACAGGGTATGGCATGGCGTTGCAAAATGGAGTGATAGCCTTCCTTCTTCAAGATCCCTTTTACACTGTACAAATCTCCCACTTTACCACCACCAAAGCACCCCCAGACCATAACATTGCCTACACCATGCTTGACAGATGGCATCAAGCACTACTCCAGCATATTTTCATTTGATCTGCGTCTCACAAATGTTCTTCTTTGTGATTCGAACACCTCAAACTTCGATTTGTCTGTCATAACACTTTTTTCCAATCTTCCTCTGTCCAGTGTCTGTGTTCTTTTGCCCATCTTAATCTTTTATTTTTATTGGCCAGTCTGAGATATGGCTTTTTCTTTGCAACTCTGCCTTGAAGGTCAGCATCCCGGAGTCACCTCTTCACTGTTGACATTGAGACTGGTGTTTTGCGGGTACTATTTAATGAAGCTGCCAGTTGAGGACCTGTGAGACTTCTGTTTCTCAAACTAGACACTATGGTATTTGTCCTCTTGCTCAGTTGTGCACCGGGGCCTCCCACTCCTCTTTCTATTCTGGTTATAGCCAGTTTGTGCTGTTCTGTGAAGGGAATAGTACACAGCGTTGTACGAGATCTTCAGTTTCTTGGCAATTTCTCACATGGAATAGCCTTCATTTCTCAGAACAAGAATAGACTGACGAGTTTCAGAAGAAAGTTATTGGTTTCTGGCCATTTGGAGCCTGTAATCGAACCCACAATTGCTGATGCTCCAGATACTCAACTAGTCTCAAGAAGGCCAGCTTTATTGCCTTTTAATCATCACAACAGTTTTCAGCTGTGCTAACATAATTGCAAAAGGGTTTTCTAATGATCAATTAGCCTTTTAAAATGATAAACTTGGATTAGCAAACACAACGTGCCAATGGAACACAGGACTGATGGTTGCTGATAATGGGCCTCTGTATGCCTATGTAGATATTCCATTTTAAAAAAATCAGCCGTTTCCAGCTATAATAGCCATTTACAACATTAACAATGTCTACACTGTATCTCTGATAAATTTGATGTTATTTTAAAGATGGACAAAAAAATTGCTTTTCTTTCGAAAACAAGGACATTTTTAAGTGACCCCAAACTTTTGAACGGTAGTGTACCTTATTTACATAAGTTTTCAGACTCTTTGCTATGAGACTCGAAATTCAGCTCAGGTACATCCTGTTTCCATTGATCATCCTTGAGATGTTTCTACAACTTGATTGGAGTCCACCTGTGGTAACTTCAATTGATTGGACATGATCTGGAAAGGCACACACCTGTCTATATAAGATCTCACAGTTGACAGTGCCTGTCAGAGCAAAAACCAAGCCATGACGTCGAAGGAATTGTCCGTAGAGCTCCGAGACAGGATTGTATCGAGGCACAGATCTGGGGAAGGGTACTAAAAATGTCTGCAGCATTGAAGGTCCTCAAGAATACAGTGGCCTCCATCATTCTTAAATGGAAGAAGTTTGGAACCACCAAGACTCTTCCTAGAGCTGGCCGCCCGGCCAAACTGAGCAATCGGGGGAGAAGGGCCTTGGTCAGGGAGGTGACCAAGAACCCGATGGTCACTCTGACAGGAGTGGAGATGGGAGAACCTTCCAGAAGGACAACCATCTCTGCAGCTATGGTAGAGCGGCCAGACGGAAGCCACTCCTCAGTAAAAGGCACATGACAGCCCGCTTGAAGTTTGCCAAAAGGCACCTAAAGGACTCTGACTGAACTCTTTGGCCTGAATGCTAAGCGTCATGTCTGGAGGAAACCTGGCACCATCCCTACGGTGAAGCATGGCTGTGGCAGCATCATGCTGTGGGGATGAACAGAGCAAAGTACAGAGAGATCCTGCTTCATAACCTGCTCCAGAGCGCTCAGGACCTCAGACTGGGGCGAAGGTTCACCTTCCAACAGGACAACGACCCTAAGCACACAGCCAAGACAACGCAGGAATTGCTTCGGAACAAGTCTCTGAATGTCCTTGAGTGGCCAGCCAGAGCCCGGACTTTAACCCGATCGAACATCTCTGGAGAGACCTGAAAATAGCTGTGCAGCGACGCTCCCCATCCAACCTGACAGAGCTTGAGAGGATCTGCAGAGAAGAATGGGAGAAACTCCCCAAATACAGATGTGCCAAGCTTGTAGCGTCATACCCAAGAAGACTTGAGGCTGTAATCGCTGCCAAAGGTGCTTCAACAAAGTACTGAGTAAAGGATCTGAATACTTATGTAAATGTGATATTGCCGTAATTGTTTTTTTTATAGATTAGCAATTACAACTGGTTTTTGCTTTGTCATTATGGGGTATTGTGTGTAGATTGATGGGGGAAAGAACTATGTAATCCATTTTAGAATAAGGCTGTAACGTAACAAAATGTGAAAAAAGTCAAGGGGTCTGAATACTTTCCGAATGTATATACTACTGTATACTACTGCAATGTACTGCATTGTAAATTGCATTTTGAGAAATTGTCCATCATTTCTTCAAAGGAGGAATTTACAATAATGTACAGTCGGCCAAATTTACTTAAGACTGGAACACTGAAGTACACTTGAACTGAGATTGCAGTGCAGTTAGCTGAAGTGCACTTATCAGGCCTGGAATGTGCTTGTGTAGGTGGTGCTCACCGCAATGATCCTCTTCATGGCCTCCAGTTTGAGTGAGTCCTTATTGCTCTCCAGCATCTCTTTAAGGTCATCATTCCTGGTGGAGAGGAGAAAGAGATTAGAACATGTACAGTATGCTATAGGCTATTTAATATTACCACACTGCTTTTTTGCATAGCGGATGCCCTTCTTTACACCAGACAACTTCCACCGGTGTAGCCAAGTATTCTACACTTCCACTGGTGTAAAATTCATTAGGCTTATGAGTTGAAGAATGTCATTGAATTGGGACTGGAAAACGGTGGTACACTTATAACAGAGTTATTTGAGAAAATTATAATCCTCTCTCACAAAAAGGTATGCAGCCTGACTTGATCGATATCTAGCCGTGCCCTTGGTGGGAGACAGGCCAAAGGTCTGCCAAGACCAAGACTAATACTGATCTATGGAGAGCATTATGTCCTGAATTAACTTAGCTCCTGCTATAAATTGGTAGTCATGCGGCGAACCTCTCCGCAATAATATACATTTTCAAGAGTGGCTTCCACATACAGGTAGGAGAACCATTCTAGTCCCATCAATGTCAAATGACTGCAAGAACAATATAGGGCCCCAGCTGAACCATTTTATTTGGATAGTCTTCTATATGGTCTACTATGCTCAAACTATATCAACAACAGCTTCAACAATTAATCCCTTTACCGTGCCATCATCCTCAACTGGATACATTTAAAGTATCATAGCTTTGCTATGGAAACACCTTCAACCAGAGAGCAAAGCAGAATCTCACGATGTTAACCCAGCCAGACCTACACAACCCTCGCTCTTCCACAGAAGAATGTGAAGCCACACAGCAGGTCATTGATTGTAGAGAGAGAGACAGAGAAAGGGTTCTGGCCACTCAATGAGAGAGGTACGGTCAGACAGAAGAAAAAAAACTGTTAGCATCAGAATGGACTGTTGGGTTGTTGTTGTTTCACATTGAACAACAACATGACGAGGGATGGGTAGAGAGAGAATGAAAAACACAACACAATTTAACCATATTGGGAGTTGTTGCCAGGCACAGATAAAATAAAGTCACGCTGTGACTCGTGAGTGACTCACGATAATGTCACAATCAACAAACAATAAATCAGCTAGAGCAGGGTTTCCAAAACTCGGTCTTGGTGCCCCCCCGGATGCACGTTTTAGTTTTTGCCCTAGCACTATACAGCGGATTCAAATAATCAAAGCTTGATGATGAGTGGTTATTTGAATCAGCTGTGTGGTGCTAAGGCAAAAAACAAAATGTGCACCCGGGGGGGCCCCAGGACCGAGTTTGGGAAACACTGAGCTAGAGAGATGGGGAAACTAGGCCATTTCGTAAACTTGAAGAGACACACACACACAACACAAGCACGTGATGAGATACACAAGCATGTGCCAAGACACACACTTCTGTAGAGTACCCTTTAGTGTGTGTCTCTTCAGGGCCTCCGTTGGCGTGTGTGTGAGGGTGCTGCTCCTCCTGGCAGAGTTCAGTTTTTAAGGTGAGCTGGAGGTTCTCAGCAGACACCAGAGCTGTCCTCACAGTCCCCGCCGCCTCAGAATCCCGGTGACCGTTCATACTGCTACAGCTTCATCTGTTGCTCTCCTCTCTGTCCGTCCTCCTCGCTCTTCTTTCTCCACCTCTCTCAGCTGATAAGAGGAGTCACAGGATGCCCTTTCCGCTGGCTAAAGCTCCAGCCTTCGCCCTGGCACAGACAGAGCTCCCCCTGGTCATCCAGTTATCCTCTTTCTACTGATTTACTTCAGTCCCGCGAGTCCAGACACACGTTTCCTGACTGTCAGCTGGCTGAGGCGTTCACTGTGGCTAATTCCCTCCTCCTGCTTTTGCACTTCAGGCAGCGACCAACAGTAGTGGTCAAAGGATAACCATTCTGCCGGCTAATGATCTAGCATTAGTGGTTCTGCTACACACACACACACAGACAGACACTACTCATGCCCTCTCTGGTATGCTCTCTCCCTCTCTGTAAGCTGAAGCTGTGACTGAGAGCACCTTCTCTTTAATCTCGTGTATCAGGCTACTAAGCAATTAAGAGACCGCCACCTCCTCAGCTCTAAGATGATAAAGGGAGTGGGAAGATGAAGTTGCCCTCTTTAAATGGCTACTAGTAGGCTATGACTCCTCATTGCTGTAAATCCAATCCAGAGACGGGTTGAAGTTTCCTGCCTGATGGATCTGTAGCTCTCGGACAGGGGCTACTTTCTCCTTCTCTTCCCTTCTACCTCTTCTCCTCTGACCGTACTGTAGTTCTCTGCGTCTGTGTGTAGCTGGGTGGTAGTTTGGTTCTCTCTGCCTGTGACTGTGCCTGTGGCCACTTCCTCCATGTGAAACGGGAGGGCCTTATCAGCCTCAGGGTAAACAGTGAGCAGCTTTCACCACCACCATCCACAGCACATTGCTTCACGCCTGCCCAGTGCCCTCCAAGGGAACTGCTTCCAGGTCTGGGCTAGATAAGGGCGATGCCAGCCCTCCAAGCATCACACACCACCAGAAGAACCACACAGAGTTAGTACAACACCCAACAACTCTACATGTCTCTCTTCATGTTTCAACCAGCCTAGTCTCATTTTCCAGGTTTTTAAGACTGGCAAGCAAGTTTACAACCAACAAGCCCGGAAGAGTCTCTGGTCAATCATTCACATAACGACCAGTAGGATAAAACACTATAAACTCTCCAATCAGCCGTCTTATCAGCTGCCGCTATTTAGCCTACTACTGTCTTCCATGTCCTCTAGTGTTTATAACCAGGATGATAATGTTGTCGGACATGGCTCAGTTCATATAGCCTAATACATCATCCGACTTCACATGGAGGCCTAATTCACATAGGCTAAGCCAGGTCCTCATCAAATCCCTATAAAAACATGGGAAACTGAACCACAATGAAATAATATGGCTTTTTAGGAAGCAGCTGATCACTTGGGGACAACCAGCCAGTCACATGTTGCTGTGCTGTGCTTCTGTCTTGGCCAGAGCAGTAGTGGACCGTGAGGTAACAAGAGCCCAGCCAATATAGGATCATCTACAGGAACGTGGCTTTGACCCTGACTGTGTCACATGACATTATTCAAATCAATATCTTTATGAGCAATAAAGTGCAAGAGAGGATTAAGCTTACGGACATGAAATGCATATACGTCCAAGGCAAGTAAAGTAACAATGAATATAGCTTCATTCAAAAAAGCCATAAAAATATGATAAAACCTCCACCTACCCTATGCTTACACACATCCATTCAATTCAGATCTACAAGAGATGTGGGGCTACTGGGTTGATTTCATAGAACAACGCTATCAGTCACTGACTTGAGTTTGGGAGTACAGAAAAACATCATGTAAAGGGAATTAGGCTAATGGTGAATATAGAGTGAGTAAATGTATGAATGCCTGACATAAACCTAGATTAAGTTACTATGTGATACTGATAATCCCTTAGGACAGACTCCCTACTAGATCTCATAGTAAAGCCTAGGCATTGTGTGTGATAGTTTGTGGGTGGACAGTGTAATCATTCACATCCAGGCATTCCCAACGCCCCAGCCCTGCAGGCTCCAGCAGCCCAACCAAGAGTCATCTAGTCTCCATTACCAGACCAAAAGACCTGGCCTACTGGCCCTGACCCGCTGCTGAACAGACCAATCATCTGATCATGTGAGAGGACTTAGAGATCACTTAGGGCCAAACCACATTAAACATTAGGCTGAAGCATGTCACTTCTTGACAGAGACAGAGATGGTTGAAACTGTTCTACTGCCCGCTGCAATGAAGAGCAGCACTAGGCTACATGGAACACTGAAGAACATAGAACAACAGAGAACAGACATACCGGTAGACATTCCATTGTATAATGATGACATGAGCACAATGCAACATTTTCAATGAAACCTTTATACGGGTAGGCTACCTCTTAAAACTGCAAGAATGAATAGTCTACATGTGAAATAGGCCCAAGTGCAGAGAAAGACAGACAAACTAACAGTAAGTGGATAATTCAAAGCTTCCATGATAATCAGGTTGAAATAACTTTCATATGATAATGGCTGACTGTTTGGGAGACTTTTTTCGGGAGAAAATGGCCTTCAGAGAAGACAGTGACTTGAGGCCTTGTCTGGAGCCAGCTGGGGAAAGACTAACCTACTGATAGTGAAATTATAACTCCAAGGCCACGGTTTGGGAAATACTGATTTACAGTAAACCCAATCATACAGCTGAGTAAGTGAACTACTGGGCACGTATTCAAGATCATAATGAATAAGATTAGGCTATATGGACCTGATCCTAGGTCAGAACACCTTCTCTGAGATCCTATGTGAATACAGGCCTGGATTTACAGTAAAGCCACATGACAACAGGAGGAGGATGGCCACGGGGGCCAGTATGAAAAATGTATGCACTCACTAATTGGAAGTCACTATGGATAAGAGCGTCTGCTAAATGACTAAATGATGGACTGCCCTCTAGTGGTATCATCACATTTACGTAATTTAGCAGACGCTCTTCTCCAGAGCGACTTACAGTTAGTCACATTATTATTATACTTTTTTTTTTTTTTTTTTTCATACCCCCTGTGGGATTACGTGATGCTGATTGCTGACATCTGAGCACATTTGACAAGTAGTCAGTTCCTTCTCATCTCACTTTTTCCATTTATATAAATGGGTTGTTTACAAAGATTTTTACCAATATTTCAATTATATGCTACTGTTGGGGACTTATTGTAAATCACTTGAGTTTATGACAGTGAGAGGGAAAGAAGATGGGATCTTTTTTTTTACCTGGCTTGTACCGAGGGACTTGGAGGACCACATCAATTGACTTGAGTAGCCAGACCGGCTCCAACTGAGGATAGCCTATGTGCATAGTACAGCTAGCATTATCTTCGTGTAACTTTTCATTTAGAATAATTTGACCCCGCACAACGATACAAACATAAAACCACGTGGTGGAACACCATTAATGTGGAATGTAAAATCTGTGTATGTTAGAGAAAATGTCTGGTGGTGTATCTTCGTCATCTTTTTGCTGTTTTGTTTATGTCAACATGTATTCCAAGCAAACGGCATCTTCGATAAATCAAACATTGCTGGCTGTCAACAAAAGCGTTTTCAACCGTGAAGCTACCATAGAGATGTGGCTGGGTTGACACTGCGGCTGTATATCTCGCTAACTAATTACCACCAGCAGCCATGTTAGCTAGCAAATTAAGTTGCAAACACAGCTTACACACAAGCAGGTTACTAAAATGCTTCCTAGCTAGCTAACTGACCTACTTTTTAAAGTTGGTACTGAACAGGCCAAATCCAGCTCCAGCATTGGTGGTCGGGGTAGTCTCCTGACCAACCTCCACCGCTGAATCCGATCCTCCTTGGTCGTTATACGACAAGTTGTTCGTCGACATGTTCAACATTTGACGTTTCACAAATGTACAGAATTGTTTATTGTATAAAGTAAAACTAACGGAAACAAAATCCCAGTCGTTGACAGTTTGATGACGCCAATTAGAAGGAGAAACTCAAAACAAAACTTTATCCTCAACGTGCAACTTTTTCCCCCTTATCCACGCAGTACCGGAAGCATGAGTAGGATACATTCGAGTCAGAGTCACATGACAAGGGGAAGAGGAATCGGTCGTCCCTAGTTACCACAGACACAAAGTCATAAACCACGCCTTTTTCTTCAATTTATCTTCTTAAAATGTGATTTTAAACCTAACCCTAAGCTTACCTCTAACCTTAACCCCACTGCTATACATATGCCTAACCCTAACCTTAAATGAACACCAAAAGGCACATTTTTGTTTACATGAATTTTTACGATAGCCTATTTTGACTTTGTAGCTGTAGTAACTACATGAACCCAATCGAAGCGCCTGACCACCCCGTTGCCATGGTAACTATGGGAGCAAGCCAATCAAATGAGCTTAGGGGCGTACTCGATGACGCGCATGCGCGCTAAACTAAAGCGTCCAGTATTTTTGTTGTAGCTTTGGCGCTAGAAGCAAAAGTTAATGCAACTTTTGGATGTAGTCCGCCATAAAGCCCTCAGAAGAAGAAGAAGAAGAAGAAGAAACAGAAACAGAAACAACGAGAGTTGAAGTAAACTTCAGAGCTAGATGGTTAGCTGGCTGTCGAGCTACCTGCAGCTTGATTACACAGGTGCTAACTTTAGGAGCTTGGAATGTGAGTGGGGCTGGGAAAATGGCTTCTAGTTCCAGATCATCTCTTCCAGAGGAAGATTTCACCTGTCCTGTGTGCTGTGACATCTTCAATAATCCCGTCCTCCTACCATGTAGCCACAGCTACTGTAAAGTCTGTCTGCAGCAATGCTGGGTGTCGAAGGGGTTTCGGGAATGCCCCGTTTGCAGGAAGAGATTTTCAATGGGTAACCTGTCTCTAAAGAACCTGTGTGTGAGGCCTACCTTGAGGAGAGAGCTTCAGCAGAGTCTGAGTCTAAAGTGCCCTGCAGTCTGCATGTTGAGAAATTCAAGCTCTACTGTCTGGAGGATAAGCAGCCCATCTGTTTAGTGTGTCAATCATCTAGAAAACATATGAGTCATGACTACTGCCATATAGACGAAGCTGTACAGGACCTCAAGGACAAGGTACAACGACATAAAGACATGCATTTTACAGAGTCACGTTTTTATTGAACATAATAATTTTTTCTATGTGAGGTGTTTATATATACTGTATACAGATTATTGTACTGTAAGATAAGATGTCCTTTCGTTTCAGGGTGAACTCGAGAGAACACTGAAACCCTTACAGGAGAAGCTGAAGGTGTTCAAAAAGCTACAGAAATCTGTACTTCCACAATGCATCACATTCAGGTAGGACAACGTTTGAGTTTAATATATTAGAGAACGCAGCTATCATGTATTAGATCAGTATTTAATTCTGTTTGCATTTGGTTGCCAAATGTTTGATAGAGTTGGCTAAATCATCATTTTGCACAGCTAGACTCTGTAGTAGGCCTAATTAATTCACTGCTGTACCAATGGCTAGCAAAATCAGACCAGAATCCGGCAACCGGACCAGGGAATTGGTTTTCTGGATGAAATGTGAGAATTCCAGTAACGTAATGTAATAACAGTTCTCTCACTGTCTCCAGAGACAATTCCAAGACACAGACATGGAGATCAAGTATGAATTCGAGGAGTTTCAGCAGTTTCTTAGAGAAGGCCAGGATTGACATACTGAGGGAAGAAGAGTTTGAGAAGACTTCAGCAATGGTGAATAGGATTGACCAGTTGAGACAAGATGTCATCACTTGTAAACACAATTGAAGCTATAGAGGATGAGCTATGAGCTGAAGACACCTCATTCCTTCAGGTCAGGACTGCTCTGTCTAAGTTAACATTATTTATTATTGTATTTATAATGATGAATAGTGATTGATAAATATTGGAATTTAATCTGGTAGTTTGTTCTTCTGCAGAACTACAAGACTATCATGGAAAGGTAAGTGAGCTGCATCCTGTCTCTCTCTTCTCTGTGTGTTCTGAACCCCCACAGCACAACTCCCACTGACTCCTGAATATTCTGTGCACACTGTCAGATCCAGATACACAGCTGGTCTCAGGAGCACTGATTGACATAGACAAAAATCTGGGCAACCTGCAGTTCAAAGCTTGGGAGAAGATGCAGAGGAATGAGATTGTCACTTACAGTTTGTATACTTTTTAAAATCTTTAGTAAATACTAGTGGGCACCAATATTGATAATTCGATATGATATTGATATGAACAAGGCATATCGTGATATCGGTTTATTCTTCCTGTTAACCTGACCTGGCCCAATGGGCAATCCGCAAGCAGTTGTCTGGACTAAACAGAGCTGTGGAAGTGAACAGAAAAGTTAACATTTTATATAGGGCTGTTAACGTTAATAACACATGATAACATTTCTTCACCGCACAGAACTTTTTAAGTGCACGTGTTTCCGCACTGACCATTTTAGGTGCAGAACACGACACTGAACACAGCTACAGCAGAGAGGAAGAGGAAGAGAGGCCAAAGATGTTGGATATACTGACAAGATACATGTCTCTCCGCCCTAACAATGGGAGTCGTTGTCCACAAAGCGGCACGGCGGGCTGTCTAGCTCCTGCCTATCCTTTCTTTGGATTGGTGGATACATCTCATTATTGTAATCCTTTTTTGAATATTCGATGAGGGTTGATGAGGTCAACCGCCTGTATTCAATGGAGAGGTGCTTTGCTACTAGCCTCATGCCAGATCTTTTCCCTCCAGCAGGTGCCGTTTTTTTGTTTCGCCTACCAAGTAGTGGGTTTTTGTATGGAGGTCAATGAGTGTCGAATTTGGTCAACCAAAAAATGAATGGCTTATTTGTTACATTAGGTTTATTTGATGGAATATACGTTTCGTAATGCCTAAGTTGTTACGAGTGTACTGATGTGTGTATGTGTGACATCATTGCAACTTTGAGAAAAAAACACTTTATATTGGAGTTGTCTCGAGATGTCTATGCATATTCATGGTATGAGGCTAGTAGCATAGCATCTATCTCCATTGAAACAGGCGGTTGACGTCAATAACCCTCATCGAATATTTAAAAAAGGATTACAATAATGAGATGTATCCACCAATCCAAAGTTAAAATGAGCTAAACCTAACCTTAACCACACTGCTAACCTTATGCCTAACCCTAACCTAAAATTATATAGCCTATATATCGTAATAATTAATGAAAACAAACATTTGCTTTCATGAAAACAAAAATGTGAAATAGGAGGGGTTTATGACTTTGTGGCTATGGTAACAACCCCTTTACATTGCTGAAGACTGTGTGCCTCTAGCCAAAATCATGTAAAAGTTATGCCCAATATTACCGGAGTTATGTTTTTTTTCTTTCTGTCGCGAATTTGTGCTCATGTCGCGATCCGTTTTAAACTAGTCGCGAGCCGATATTTTTTGGTTCGATAATAAAACATTGTTTAGCTAGCTAGTCATGTTACCTAGCTAGCTAGCAACCTGATAACTTGACCACTGACTAGGCTATGCACAAACTTGGATGGCACAGGAGGAACTGAAAAGGAATAGACAACTCAACCTGGTCTCAGAGCATTTCGTATGTTTCTTTTCCTAAATCCGAAGAATGCAAACATCTAGCAACCCAAAGGTTGCGAGTTCGAATCTCATCACAGACAACTTTAGCATTTTAGCTGATTAGCAACTTTAACTACTTACTACTTTGCAAGTACTTAGCATGTTAGCTAACCCTTCCCCTAACCCTTTTAGCTAAACCTAACTCCTAAACTTAATCCTAACCCTTAGCTAATGTTAGCCAGCTAGCTAACGTTAGCCACCTAGCTAGAATTCGTAACATATAGTACATTTTGCAAATTCGTTACATATTGTACGTTTTCCAAAATCGTAATATATAATGCGATTTGCATATGCAAGAGTGGGGTTTGTATGATATTGTGTGTATGTGTCTGAAAATGAGTAAGTGAGAGAGCGGGTGTGGGAGGGAGGGAGAGTGTGTAGGACTATGTGTGTAAAGTTATCGGAATGGTTACAGTGTTTTCATAACATTGTTGGACAAGTTTAAAAGCTCCTTGTTCTTTTCATCCATAGAGCCATTTCTTATTTCCTATAGTCACACTCATTTAGAATGCCTGAAGCTTTAACAGTACTTAAAGCAGTGTGTGTGCTGTGCACAAGTGTTCAACTTCAAGAACATTCATAAGAGGAAGTAGGCCTACTTAAACATTGGGAGCATTAATAGCTGTATGTTACAGTGACATTTGTGTTGTTGATGGTAAAATTCCATTAAAATATTTTGATACAGATTGTTTTGTGTTTCCGTCCCTTATAATCAAAACATAGTATGCCTGTAACTCTATGCACTGCTTTCTTGATGAAAAATAATAATAATTTAGGGACCAAATTTGAGCAAATTCTAAAATTGCCCACTGATTAAAGACTAAAGTATCTCTGATCTTTCCACTCAGCTCCTGTGATTCTGGACCCCAACACTGCCCAACCACAAATGGTCCTGTCTGATGATCTTACCATTGGCACATACTTTGAACACAGCATGCAGCTTCCTGACAACCCAGAGAGGTTTGATAAATGGCCCTCGGTCCTGGGCTCTGAGGGCTTTGACTCAGGCTTACACACTTGGGACGTTGGGGTTGGGGAAAATGAAGAGTGGATGGTGGGTGTGCAATCAGAGTCTGCTCTGAGGAAGGGAGAAATAAAGAATAGAGACCAGTCCTGGGGTTTAACACACTTGTATGGTACATATAAAGCTTTTTCCACACCAAATGACAAAATTCTTCTCACTGTAGACTATACCAGGACAATCAGAGTGCGGCTGGACTGGGACAAAGGAACACTGTCATTCTCTAACCCTGATAATGCCACACATATACACACGTTCACGCACACTTTTACTGAAAGAGTCTTTCAACATCTTGGTAATGACAGCAAATGCCCTCTGACAATCTTACCAGGGGAGGTCCCTTTAGTGATATCACCTGTCAAGTGTAAAGCTGATCCAGACTCTGACAATGAAGAAGAATGCTTCTTTGTCTGTCATTTTCAGATCACGAAAACTGGTGTCTTTTTATGCTTTTCAGTGAAACTGCAGTCAGAACCAGCTGATACCTCTGGTCTGTAACAGTGGCATTTGTTGTAAACAAAATGCTCTGTTCATTTGTATTTTAGTTTATGTTTCATGTTGATATGTAACGAAGGTATATTTTCATTGTGCCATTTTAGTTTTTTTTTGTCTTGAGAGAAGATAATATTTAATGTAAAGGTTAATGAGTCCATTAAGACATGATTCAAACAATTCATTTTTAACCGGACACAAGTCACTCTCCTTATAATAATAATAATAATACGTCTCTTCACCCTGCCATCTGGATCTGAGTTCTGCATAATACTGTTTCACTGTTTCATCAATGATACCGTTTGTTTCCTGAAGAATGTCTGTTACTGTAGATTGCAGCAATGGACCAGTATTTGATTAGGCATGACTGCAAACTGCTGACTTAATTTGACTGTGAAAGAGAAGCACATTCAGCCAGCCATGTTCACCAACAACTGCAAGAGGAGAACAGAAGAACGTTGCCAGAAGATACTGACCCTACCGTTAGGCTTTTTTAGTGAGCTGCACTGTCGTCAGAATTCAATCATGGTTACATTAAGACACGTTGAAGCCGGCGCGAGATATGGGTTGGAAAACGTACTTCAATGCCGGAATGGGATATGCCTCTGTACTCCAAATTATACCTTTATCCACACTGATACATCGAGAAGATTGAAATACTGCTGTTTTTGTCCTCATGCTAGTTAACAGTAGCCACCGCAGACATTTTGGAACGTTGTTCATTGCGACATGCTATTCCATAATGGCTGCTGTGGCTACTGCTAGCTAGCACGAGGACGAAAAGGGCAGTTTTCCGGGAAAACAAGCAGTATTTCAATCTTCTGGACGGAGCAGTGTGGATAAAGGTATCATTTTTTCGGAACATGTCTCGCGCCGGCTCCACAGTGTCTTAATGTAACCATGATTGCACTACGACCCAGTGTACCTCAGTAAACAAGCATAACGGTAGGGTCGGTATCTTCTGGCAAATAATAACTGTGCTGTAACATTTGGATACTCATTTTTTTTTGTTTTCTCTTGCTTGAGGCTAACTAGGACTTTCTTGGAGATAGCCCGGGGTCATCCTTCTCTTGTGACCAGGCTGCATCTAGATACATAGAAAATCGCTTCCTTGTCTCCTTCTGAGAGAACTGAACAGATGAAAGCAAATTCATATTAGACTTCCTGTCCCATGTTTCCAGATCAGTGCAGATGAAGGAAATTAGAAAATATTTGAAGTCAGTAAAGTATTGGGATTGCATCATCAAAGATACAGCACATTGCTCATATAGAGATTACTAGTTTGTTATATTTCATTTTGTGAGAGTGCCACTGTAGAATTAATGTAATCATTCCCTGAAGAATACTCCATGTAGCCCTCAAAATAACCCTACAATTATGATGATTAATTGATAAGCTGGCCAGTGATTGAGTATGTTTACTTGCACACTAATAATTGGATATTAAACTGATTATGGCAGTAGGCAGAGCATGGCAATAGTCATTAAAACACTTTACTTTGCTTATCCTAATTGGCGTAAAAGGTCAGAAACAAAGCAAGCATACGCTGATTAAAACACCTGGTTTTCTGAGCAATATTTAGAGTTATTAGGACATGTAAACAGCTTAATCAGCGTTCCAGTGGTATATTTGATCTGCACATGTGCCAGCACCGGTAGCGCAAGCCTCCCTCTTATTAGCCTAGACAGCCGGTAGTGGGCGCTAGAGCTGCACTATCGTATAGGATTTATTTTACATTTTAGTAATTTAGTAGATGCTCTTATCCAGAGCGACTTACAGTTAGTGAGTGCATACATTTTCATACTTTATGTGCATTGCCTGTAATAGGTGTCACCGTTATGGGCGGTACCTCCTTGCCTGTCCAAATAAAATATTGAAATATTTGACCGAGACGCACGCCGACAGAAAGACGATTCAATCTAAGATAAAGCGTTGAGCGAGCGAAACGGCACCTCTCTGTCTCAGTATGTGTAGACCATGTATCTGATGCTCTGGTGGACATTCCTGCAGTCAGTATGTCAATTGCACACTCCATCAAAACTTGAGACATCTGTGGCATTGTTGTGTTAGAAAACAGCACATTTTAAAGTGGCCTTTTATTGTCCCCAGCACAAGGTGCACCTGTGGAATGATCGTGATGTTTAATCAGCTTCTTGATATGCCACACCTCTCAGATGGATGGATTATCTTGGCAAAGGAGAAACGCTCACTAATAGGGATGTAAACAAATTTGTGCAGAGAAATTAGCTTTTTGTGTGTATGGATTATTTTTTTCAGTTTATGCAACACGGGACCAACACTTTTATATTTTTGTTCAGTGTATGTAATTGGGACTTGATCAAAATAAAAAAATACAATCAAAGGGCAAACAATTCACACAATGAATGCTCAAAGGTGTTTGATGGGGTTGAGGTCAGGGCTCTGTGCAGGCCAGTCAAGTTCTTCCACACCGATCTGAACAAACCATTTCTTTATGGACCTTGCTTTGTGCACGGGGGCGTTGTCATGCTGAAACAGGAAAGGGCCTTCACCTAACTTGCCACAAAGTTGAAAGCACAAAATCATCTAGAATGTCATTGTATGCTGTAGCGTTAAGATTTCCCTTCACTGGAACTAAGGGGCCTAGCCCGAACCATGAAAAACAGCCCCAGACCATTATTCCTCCTCCACCAAACTTTACAGTTGGCACTATGCATTCGGGCAGGTTGGACTGCCAGATGGTGAAGCGTGATTCATCACTCCAGAGTCCAATGGCGGCGAGCTTTACACCACTCCATCCGACACTTGGCATTGTGCATGGTGATCTTAGGCTTGTGTGCAGCTGCTCGGCCATGGAAACCCATTTCATGAAGCTCCTGACAAACAATTATTGTGCTGACGTTGCTTCCAGAGGCAGTTTGGCACTTGGTAGTGAGTGTTGCAACCAAGGACATACGATTTTTATGCGCTTCAGCACTCGGTGGTCCCGTTTTTTGGTGTGGCCTACCACTTCCTGGCTGAGCCATTGTTGCTCTTAAAGGTTTCCACTTATAATAATAATAATAATATGCCATTTAGCAGACGCTTTTATCCAAAGCGACTTACAGTCGTGCGTGCATACATTTTTGTGTATGGGTGGTCCCGGGACAGCACTAGCAGGGCAGACATTTGACAAACTGACTTGTTGGAAAGGTAGCATCCTATGACTGTGCCACGTTGAAAGTAAATGAGCTCTTTAGTAAGGCCATTCTACTGCCAATGTTTGTCTATGGAGATTGCATGGCGGTGTGCTCGATTTTATACACCTGTCAGCAACGGGTGTGGCTGAAATTGCCTAATCCACACATTTGAAGGGGTGTCCACATACATGTAGTGTATGTTGGAACTCAGAATCAAATAGGCTTTGCAAAAAATAACATGGTGTTCCGGAGACACTTGAAACCCCACCTCTTTAAGGAATACCTGGGATAGGATAAAGTAATCCTTCTATTCTCCCCTTACCCCCCCCCCCCAAAAAAAATAAAAAATACATATTGTAAAGTGATTATCCCACTGGCTATAAGGTGAATGCACCAATTTGTAAGTCGCTCTGGATAAGAGCGTCTGCTAAATGACGTAAATGTAATGGTGGCTGTGGTAGAATGTTTATTTTGATCAAGTGGTCTGATTTCAGACGTGTCCATGTAAACAGCATTATTAATATGGAAATCCGCCTTCTTGAAAAGCATGTAAACTTTTTAAACGAACTATTATTTTAATCTGACTATCCACAATAATCGTATTATTGTGTGCATGTAACCGTATTCATTGATGGTGATCACATTTTACAGGGGCAAGCTACGGCAGGCAAAGCACAGACATCACTTCCGAGATCCTGCCATTTTGCTGCTGATGCTCAAAACAAGCCGGGTCCAGATTAGCTGGTGCTGTCTGCCGCCATTGTTTTGAAGTTCAGCTGTTAATTTTTTTTAACGAGACAAGAGACCAAGTCAGTTTTTAACAATTGAAGACGTCATCAAAGTAGAATGTCAGATTTCGACCATAACCCGTTCGCGGACCCTGAATTCAATAACCCTTTTCAGGTAAGTGAAATAGCTAACTCACCGGTCTGTCATTTGGCTATGCTAATTTGTTAGCCTGCTAATGTCCGTTATGTTGAATTGAATTTAGCTTGCAAGGATAGCTAGCTAGCTTTCTAGCGATGACAGTGTCACGTTGTTTCCGTTGGGCATGACAGCTGTAACGCCAGGGGTGTAATCATTAGTCTGAACAGTTGTTTCTGAATCTAAAACGAGATTTTCTATTGGACAAATGCAGGTAGATGATCCTCCCCGTTTCGTTTGCTTCGTTTAACGTTTTGTAACAGAATCGGCGTAATGAATAACTTACGCCCCAGCTAACTAACGTTAACTGGAGCACTTGCTAACAAACGTTTTATGTCAACAAGTAGTTACTTTGAACAAAGAGAACGTTGTATCAAGTAATTTATTTACAAACTATAGCTAACTAGCAAACACGCTAGATCATGATGACTTCGCTTATTGCCATTCAATTGTGGAGTTATCACTTTGTGTCCTCTTCAGCCAGGCATCAGCTTAACATTGCTAGCTGCATCTTGACACCTGACGTAGACAGAGGCAGCGTATAGGGTCTGACAATACCCACACAAAGGTAACGTTAACTGTTGCCTCATCTCTTGATGATTCATTCACTAACGTTACATGTGAGTTTTTCATTTAGCAGGACAACTCATTGACATTGAGGTTGGTAGGCAGCTAGCTTAGGGTCTTTATGACGAGAGTTATGCAAGGTGGACATGACAGTAGTGCTACAGACTTCATCAGACCGAATTGTTGCTTGGAGTGGACTGTGTGGCACTGACAAGTTGTACAGTTATGGGGAAACAATATAGCATTATATATGTCCAAAATACACCA